CCGCAGGAGGCAGGCCCCGAGGCGCAGGCCGGACCCCCTTCCCGCGCGCCGGCCGGGCGGGCGCCCCGGAGGCCGCGCTCCTCCCAGGCCGGCCCCGGCAGCCAGGTGCGCGGCGGCCGGGGCAAGGTGACCGCGGGCGCGGGCCCGGCGCCCACCTTCTGAGCGGCGCGCACGTTGTCCTCGCCGAACAGGCTGCTGACGCTCTGCGAGAAGGTGTTGACCGTGCGGCGGTAGCTGTTCTTCTCCGCGCCGCCGCGGCCCCGCGCCCCCTGCGCGCCCGGGGCCAGCAGCCCGAGCAGCAGCACCAGCAGCAGCAGCAGGAGCCCGGCCAGGGCCAGGGGCCCGCCTGAGGCGCGCGCGCCCATGCTCGGCCGGCGGGGTGCGGGGTCGCGGTGCCGGGTGAGGGCCGTGCGCTGGGCCGCCGCGGGCTCCGGCTAGGGCAGGGTTGGCGCGCTCGGGGGCCGCGCGCCGCGCCTTTACCCACCGCCGCCGCCGCTGCTGCGCCACCCGCCCCGCCCCGCGCGCAAAGGCGCGACGGCCCAGCCCACGCTGCGCCCCGCCCCCGGCGCGGGACCAACGCGACCCGGCCCCGGGGCCCCGCGCCCGCCTCCCGGAAGCCTGCCCCGACCCGGTACGGCTTCTCATCAATTAAAAAAAAATTCTTTCTTTTGACTTATCCGTGGGAAAGCAACCCGTGCCTGTAAAACTTGCAACAGCTTCAACCAGGGAAGTGACCGCAACTGATTGGAAAACATGAAATAGACATATATGTAATCTCCCTGAATTTATTATAATGGTACCCCAAAATTGGCCCTCGTGGGCATCAGCTCATTCATTCTGAAAATTTTAAATAACAAAAAAGCATCAGGCATCCTCCTACTCTTCCTGAATGAACTGTATTTCAGAGCCCCAAAATAGTAGGGGAGGGAAACTTTCTTTTAGCACAGTCCGGCTAATACATGAGGATGAATGAGAGAATCCGAAAATTATTTGGCACCCCTCAATGGAATGATGGATTCACGCGATGATCATCAGAAATGGGTAAAACCAAGAGGCGAGGATTTGGCGGGGAACTTGAAAATGGAGGGGCCAAGCCGCGAAGTCCCGGCCCCGCCAATCGATCTTAGTGCCAGGAAGTACCAGCGCCACCTGCGATGGATTCTTGCCAAGACAAGTTGAGCATGAACCTGATGGGGCCTCTAGATCAAACCTATAGTTTACAGGAAATATGGCAGATAAGGAAAACTTACAAGCAGCAGAAGCAACCAACCAACTCCATCATGTGGGACATTCAACGAGACAAACGACCCAGTTCGTTCAATAAATAAGCGGTATAAAAGGTGAGCGGAGAGGAGGATAATTGGTTTTAAAGACTTAAGAACCATAATAACCCATGCAATGCAAGGACCCTGTTTGCATCCTAAATCAAACAAATCAAGTCTAACCAACTTTCTTTTTAGACAACCAAGAAAATAAAACTCAATTTTTGCCAATCCAAAGAATAAAAAATGCTCTTATTTTTGAATTTACATTTTCTGGATTCCTAGTAAGGTTTTCATAGATTTATTGGCCATTTGAATTACTTCTCTTTGAATTATGTATTCATATCCTTTGCACATTTTTTCCTGTGTTGTTTATCTTTTTAAAAACTTTTTTGTAGGCCAGGTGCGGTGGTTAACGTCTGTAATTCTGGCACTTTGGGAGGCTGAGGCGGGCAACCTGAGGTCGGGAGTTCAAGACCAGCTTGACCAACATGGAGAAACCCATCTCCACTAAAAATACAAAATGAGGCCGGGCGCGGTGGCTCACACTTGTAATCCCAGCACTTTGGGAGGCCGAGGCAGGCGGATCACAAAGTCAGGAGATCAAGACCATTTTGGCTAACATGCTGAAACCACGTCTCTACTAAAAATACAAAAAATTAGCCGAGCGTGGTGGCAGGTGCCTGTAGTCCTAGCTACTCGGGAGGCTGAGGCAGGAGAATGGCATGAACCCGGAAGGCAGAGGTTGTAGTGAGCCGAGATCGTGCCACTGCACTCTAGCCTGGGCAACAGAGTGAGACTCTGTCTCAAAACAAAATAAAACAAATATATATATATATATAAAATGAGCCAGGTATGGTGGAGCCTGCTTGTAATCCCAGCTACTCGGGAGGCTGAGGCAGGAGAATCGCCTGAACCTGGGAGGTGGAGGTTGCAGTGAGCCGAGACTGAGCCACTGCACTCCAGCCTGGGCAACAAGAGTGAAACTCTGTCTCAAAAACAAAACAAAAAAAAACAACTTGTTTTACTCTGGGTGTAGTGGCACACGCCTGTTTTGGGAGGCCAAGGCAGGAGGATTGCTTGAACACAGGAGTTCGAGACCAGCCTGGCCAACATAGTGAGACCTATCTCTACAAAACATAACAATAAACTTTTTAATTAAGGTATAATATATAGAAAAATACACAATCATATAAATTTTTATGAATTTTCACAAGCTGAATACACAAGGTAACCAGCACCCAGATGGAGAAATGAAACATTACCAGTTTCCCCCAAAGCCTCCCTTTGTTCCCTCCCATTCACTAGGCTCCTCTTAAAATTTAGGGGATTCATGTGTTTGAAGTTTATGTAAATAGAACCACACAGTACGACTCTGGGGGTTGGCTTCTTTTGTTCAACTTTATTTTTTATTTATTTTTAATTTTCTGAGACGGAGTCTTACTCTATTGCCCTGCTGGAGTGCAGTGGCCATGATCTTGGCTCACTGCAACCTCTGCCTCCCAGGTTCAAGCGATTCTTCTGCCTCAGACTTCCGCGTAGCTGGGACTATAGGCACGTGCCACCACACCTAGCTAATGTTTGTATTTTTAGTGGAGACGGGTTTCGTCATGTTGGCTAGGCTGGTCTCAAACTTCTGACCTCAGGTGATCCGCCTGCCTCGGCCTCCCAAAGTGCTGGGATTACAGGTGTGAGCCACCATGCCAGGCTTTTGTTCAACTTTATATTTGTGAGATCCATCCATTCTGTTATGTACCTGCCTTCTTCTTGCTGTCTAGGATGGTCTATACCATCTGGAAGGTAATTCATTGATATATTACATTTTAGAAGGAAATATAGGCAAGTGTACTAATATCTATTTAACATTTTTTAAAGGTTTTCTAAACTTTTTTTTTTTTTATTTGGAGATGGAGTCTCGCCCTGTCGCCCAGGCTGGAATGCAGTGGTGCCATATCGGCTCACTGCAACCTCCGCCTCCCAGGTTCAAGCGATTCTCCTGCCCCAGCCTCCCAAGTAGCTGGGATTACAGGAACACGCCACTACGCCCAGCTAACTTTTGTATTTTCAGTAGAGACGGGGTTTCACTATGTTGGTCAGGCTGGTCTCGAACTCTTGACCTCGTGATCCGCCAGCCTCAGCCTCCCAAAGTGCTGGGATTATAGGCGTGAGCCACCGCGCCCAGCCTCTAAACTTTTAATTTATTTAAATAAACACATTTAAAAAAGAAACTTTAGATCACTGTCATCCTAAGCAACAAAATCCATAAAAACACAGATTTGAGCCTGGGTGCGGTGGCTCAGGTCCGTAATCTCATCGTTTTGAGAGGCCAAGGTGGGGGGATCACTTGATGTCAGGAGTTTGAGACCATTCTGGCCAACATGGTGAATCTCTACTAAAAATACAAAAATTAGATGGGCATGGTGGTGGGTGCCTGTAATCCCAGCTACTTGGAAGGCTGAGACAGGAGAATAGCTTGAACTCGAGAAGTGGAGGCTGCAGTGAGCCGAGATTGCTCCACTACACTCCAGGCTGGGCATCAGAGAGAGACGTCTGTCTCAAAAAAACAAAAACAAGAAAATAAACAGAAAACCCCACAGATATGATACGCTGATTATGCTTTTTTAAAAATGTCATTAAGGCCTTCATGGTGGCTTATACCTGTAATTCCAGCACTTTGGGAGGACAAGTGGATCCCTGGAGCCCAGGATTTTGAGACCAGTCTAGGCAACATAGGGAGACACCATCTCTACAAAAAATAGAAAAATTAGCCGGTTGTGGCGGTATGTCCCTGTAGTCCTAAGTACTCAGGAGGCTGAGGTGGGAGGAGAGGTCAAGGCTGCAGTGAGTGGTGCTTGCACCACTGCACTCTGGCCTGGGCCACAGGGCAAGATCTTATCTCTAAAAAAAAAAAAGAGAGAGACCTTATCTCAATAATAATAATAATAATAATAATAATAATAATGCATTGTTTCCCAGTGTGTTACAATGTGATGTCTAATAGACAACTTTAATATTTTTTTTTTGAGACAGACTCTAGCTCTGTTGCCCAGGCTGAAGGGCAGTGATGCAATCTTGGCTCACTGCCAACCTCCACCTCCTGGGTTCAGTCAGTTCTCTGCCTCAGCCTCCCGAGTAGCTGGGATTACAGGCGCCTGCCACCATGCCTAGCTAATTTTTTTTTTTTTTTTGTATTTTTAGTAGAGACGGGGGTTTCACCATCTTGGCCAGGCTGGTCTTGAACTCCTGACCTTGTGATCTATTCGCCTCGGCCTCCCAAAGTGCTGGGATTACAGGCGTGAGCCACCGCGCCCGTAGAGGCCTCCTTTTAGATCTTCCATCTGTCCCTGGGATGGAAATATTTGGTGCCTTTTTAAAACTACACGACTAATACGTTTCTTGTAGGAATATCAGAAAATGCAGATGCGCAAACCAGGGTTGGGGGGAAGAAGTTTGGAGTATTGGGGGTGAGGTGTATTTTTAAAGGTGGCAAAACACTTCCACTCCCAAGCAGCCAAATTAGTATCAGTAGATATAATTCATATTTAAACCCAGACTACCGCAAGCGAGAACAGCCCCGGACTTAAAACTTCGGCCTGGGCGGGGACCTCAGGCCCCGCCTCCTCTAAATAGCCCCGCCCCCTTCCCGACCCGGCTCCGCCTCTCCCCTCGCATGTTTTTTCTTCCAACCCCGCCCCTCATCGGCCAAGTCAGTTACAGCTCTCGCGATAACGTAACCCGGAAGTCTCACGGCCGGAGTTGGTGGTCCGGGAACCCACGTGGGCTGAGTTTCGGGTTGCTTTGGTGGTCCGACCCGCTGTGGTGCTCACCCGGGCCTAGTCGCCATGGGGAAGCTGCGCCGGCGGTACAACATCAAGGGGCGCCAGCAGGCGGGTCCCGGCCCCTCGAAGGGCTCCCCCGAGCCGCCCCCCGTGCAGCTGGAACTAGAGGGTAAGACAACCCCGGACGGGGGCTGGATTTCGGGAATTTCCCAGGGCGGCCTGTGCCCTGCCTTCAGGACTCTGGGGTGAGGATCCCAGAGGGGTGGGATGGGTCCCCCCATTCCAGATGATCCAAAGGAAAGGGACTTAGTGACAGCCTAGTTTTAACAGTGTGTGGGGAATACCCGTGGTTTCTCTCGCCCTCAAATAGTAACATGGAGAATTTGGCAAAAAAAATAAGAGTAGTTCCTTCGCTTCCCATGACTTCGATTATAATCTCTTTATAATCTTCAGCAACCCCCAAATGTGTATTTTCAGCCCAGTCTTGTCTGCTCAACTTCTGGCTGGCTGACATTTCTCTCAGACCCCTTTTTAGTATTAGCCCTTATTACATGCCAGGCACTATTCTCGGCACTGAGACATAGCAGAAAGGTAGATTTTTAGAAAATCCCTGAGTTACCTGCTGTATAGGAGGAGACAGGGAAAGAATAAACATATAGAAAATTCTGTGGATACCGTGAGCAGATAAAACAGAAGAGGTCATTGGGTGGGTTGCAGCATCCCATAGAGTTGCTGGAGAAGACATCACTCTGTTAGAGTCAAGATCTGAAAGAGGCCTGAGTGACTGCCTGGAGATGGGAGAAAAAACAGGGGGCCAGGGCAGGTCAGGCCTGGACTGGGGTTTTGGCGAGGACTGGGGCTTTTTCTCTATGGGAAAGGGCAGCCATGAGGGCAGAGGAGGACAGATGAGGGCTTATGTTTTAACAGTATCACTTTGGCTGCTGTGTTGAGAAAAAACAGTAGAGGTGAAAGGTAGAACCAGGATGGGGAGGAGGTGGAGGTGATGCTTGGACCAGGGGGCAGCAGTAGGAAGGTGAGAAATGGGGGGATTCAAGATGTGTTTTGAAGGCCAAGCTGGCAGTATCTGCTGGCTGACAGGGCTTGTGGACAAAAACAATGGCGGTGACAAAGAATGACTCCCAGCGGTTGAGTGGGTAGCTCGTGGGGAGGACCAAGAGCTCAGCTTTGGATATGGGTAGTTTGGAGCCTGTTAGATATCCAGGCAGGGAGAGTAGGCGGGCAGCTGTTGACTCAGATACTCAAGAGATGCAAGTCCAGGTGGAGGTATCCATTTTGGAATCAGACATGTATATAGGTATTTATTTAGTCAGAAGACTGAGGGTATGAGTCCAGCCCTGGAGGAGAGGGAAATAAGGAGCCTGCAAGGGAGATGGAGTGGCCCGGAAGGTGTGTGATGAGCTGCGACAGTGTGATTGCCCTGGGACCAGGGAGGAGGACTCTCCCTGTGGGTCAGGTGCTGCTTCAGAATCAGGGAAGGACCGAAGAACCACTGGATTTAACACCGGAAGGGCATTTAGCACCTCAGTAGGGGTGCTCTTGGAGGAGGCTTGTGGTGAAGCAATTGTGTGGGTTCAAGGATGTCCTGTAGGCCCCTGAAACTAAACATGTTCCAAAATTGAACTCATCCAGCCACTTGTGTTAAGACCCCAAGGGCCAGGCTGACTTGGCCATTAAGAAAGATTCTAGGAACAGAAGGAAGGGTCACCAGGGGTGCTGGAGGAGTCTGCTTCCTTCCACCACTAATCAGCATTCTCTTCCACACATTTGTTGGACCTGGAAGGCAGTGAGGGTATAGGGAAGAATGTCAGAGTGGGAATCTGATAGTCTGAGTTCAGTCCTTGGAAGTTGCACAGATAGGCCGGGCATGGTGGCTACACCTATAATCCCAGCATGTTGAGAGGCCAAGGCAGGCAGATCACTTGAGGTCAGGAGGTTGAGACCAACCTGGCCGACATGGTGAAATCCCGTCTCTACTAAAATATAAAAACTAGCCAGGCATGTTGGTGGGCACCTCCAGCTACTCGGGAGGCTGAGGCAGGAGAATGGCGTGAACCCGGAGACAGAGGTCACAGTGAACCAAGATTGCGCCACTGTACTCCAGCCTGGGTGAGAGAGTAAGACTCCATCTCAAAAAAAACAGAAGTTCCACAGACAGGCTGGGAGTTGAGGCAGATCCCCTAGCATCTCTGTGCCTTCGTTTTCACGTCTGCAGAATGGGACCAGTAGCACACGTTGAGCATCCTTAATCCAAAATACTCCAGAATTCTAAAGTTTTTGAGTGTCAACATGACACTTAAAGGAAATGCTCATTGGAGCTTACAGATTTCAAATTTTTTAGATTAGGGATGCTCAACCAGTAAATAGAATACAGATATTCCTAAATCTAAGACACATCTGGTCCCTAGCATTTCTGGAAAGGGATATTTAACCTGTGGTAGCTGTCCTACCTCCTATCAGAGTTTTGGAGGTGGTAATTTGGGAAAATATGTTGGTGACCGAAACGAGAATGCTTTGAAACGTAAAGAAAGGTTACAGAGGCGGGGTGTGTCCCGGGACGGGGGGACAACTGTTATGATGGCAGTGACAATTCAGGATGGCACCTCAAAGACAGCTGTAGACACTGGACTGACACTTGGAACTGGACCATCTGAGCAGAGAGGCTGAGGTCTCTCAGACCCAGAGATTTGGGGAAAGTTGTTTCTCACATCAGAACAGGACATTTCCATGTATTCCTGCCTTTCTCAGGGCCTAGAGGAATCTCATAAGAACATGACTCAGATTGCCTTCTTTTATTTATTTATTTATTTATTTATTTATTTATTTATTTGAGATGGAGTCTCGCTCTGTCTCCAGGCTAGAGTGCAGTGGCGCAATCTCTTGACTTCAGGTGATCTGCCTGCCTCGGCCTCTCAAAGTGCTGGGATTACAGGCATGAGCCACTGCACCCAGCCCACTGTACTTAATTAGGGTCACAAAACCTGTCCTCTTTGTAACATAAAGACGTAGAAACCAAACAGTTAATCAAAGAATCAGATCCTCGGCCGGGCGCGGTGCCTCACGCCTGTAATCCCAGCACTTTGGGAGGCCGAGACAGGCGGATCACGAGGTCAGGAGATCGAGACCATCCTGGCTAACACGGGAAGCCCCATCTCTACTAAAAATACAAAACATTAGCCAGGCGTGGTGGTGCACGCCTGTAGTCCCAGCTACTCAGAGGCTGAGGCAGGAGAATGGCGTGAACCCAGGAGGCAGAGCTTGCAGTGAGCTGAGATCGTGCCACTGCACTCCAGCCTGGGTGACAAAGCGAGACTCCGTCTCAAAAAAAAAAAAAAAAAAAAAGAAAAGAATCAGATCCTCCCCACACAGGAACACCAGACAGCAAACCCCAGCATCAGACGTCAGGCAGACACAGGTATTTGCTAAGGTTTGTCCTACCTAAGATTCTGCAATTGGTGGAGTTGAAGAGTGATATGATAACTGAATTTTTCTAAATTTGTCTAGATTGTATACGTTCAAACTATTATAGAAATAGATAAGATGGAAACTTAGCCTAGTCCACTATACACTCTTTTTTTTTTTTTTTTGAAATAGAGCCTTGTTCTGTCGCCTAGGCTGGAGTACAGTGGCATGATCTCTGCTCACTGCAACCTCTGCCTCCCGGGTTCAAGCAGTTCCCGTGCCTCAGCCTCCCGTGTAGCTGGGATTATAGGTGCATGCCATCACATCTGGCTAGTTTTTGTAATTTTTTTTTTTTTTTTTTTTTTTTTTTTTGAGACGGAGTCTTGCTCTGTCGCCCAGGCTGGAGTGCAGTGGCCGGATCTCAGCTCACTGCAAGCTCCGCCTCCCGGGTTCACGCCATTCTCCTGCCTCAGCCTCCCGAGTAGCTGGGACTACAGGCGCCCGCCACCTCGCCCGGCTAGTTTTTTTGTATTTTGTAGTAGAGACGGGGTTTCACCGTGTTAGCCAGGATGGTCTCGATCTCCTGACCTCGTGATCCGCCCGTCTCGGCCTCCCAAAGTGCTGGGATTACAGGCTTGAGCCACCGCGCCCGGCCAGTTTTTGTATTTTTTGTACAGACGGGGTTTTGCCATGTTGGCCAGGCGGGTCCCCAACTCCTGGCCTCACTTCCCAAAGTGTTAGGATTGCAGGCGTGTGCCACCGCGCCCGGCCCTACTGTACACACTTAAGAGAGTATCAGGCTGGGCTGGGCGCGGTGGCTCAAGCCTGTAATCCCAGCACTTTGGGAGGCCGAGACGGGCGGATCACGAGGTCAGGAGATCGAGACCATCCTGGCTAACACAGTGAAACCCCGTCTCTACTAAAAAATACAAAAAACTAGCCGGGCGAGGTGGGGGGCGCCTGTAGTCCCAGCTACTCGGGAGGCTGAGGCAGGAGAATGGCATAAACCCAGGAGGCGGAGCTTGCAGTGAGCTGAGATCCGGCCACTGCACTCCAGCCTGGGCCACAAAGCAAGACTCCGTCTCAAAAAAAAAAAAAAAAAGAGTATCAGGCTGGGCATGGTGGCTCACGCCTATAATCCCAGCACTTTGGGAGGCTGAGGTGGGTGGATCACTTGAGGTCAGTAGTTCGAGACCGCCTGGCTAAGATGGTAGAACCCAGTCTCTACTAAAAATACAAAAATTAGCTGAGCATGGTGGTACATGCCTGTAATCTCACCTGCTCGGGAGGCTGAGGCAAGAGAATTGCTGGAACTTGGGAGGCAGAGGTTGCAGTGAGCCGAGATTGCACCACTGCACTCTAGTCTGGGGTGCAAAGCGAGACTCTTTCTCAAAAAAACAAAAAGATAACATCATAGTATTATTTTTCTTTTTTTGGGGGGGGAGGGCGTTTTTTTTTTTTTTTTTTTGGACAGAGTCTTGCTCTGTTGCCCAGGCTGGAGTGCAGTGGTGTGATCTCGGCTCACTGCAACCTCCACCTCCCAGATTCAAGAGATTCTCCTGCCTTAGCCTCCCAAATAGCTGGGATTACAGGTGCCCACCACCACACCTGGCTAATTTTATATTTTTAGTAGAGACAGGGTTTCGCCATGTAGGCCACACTGGTCTGGAACTCATGACCTCAAGTGAGCCACCTGCCTCAGCCTCCTGAAGTGCTGGGATTACAGGCATGAGCCCCTGCGCCTGGCCTTGAGAACATCATAATATTGTTATGAAAATAGATTTGGGCCGGGCGCGGTGGCTCAAGCCTGTAATCCCAGCACTTTGGGAGGCCGAGACGGGCGGATCACGAGGTCAGGAGATCGAGACCATCCTGGCTAACACAATGAAATCCCGTCTCTACTAAAAAGAATACAAAAAACTAGCTGGGCGAGGTGGCGGGCGCCTGTAGTCCCAGCTACTCGGGAAGCTGAGGCAGGAGAATGGCGTGAAGCCGGGAGGCGGAGCTTGCAGCGAGCCCAGATGGCGCCACTGCACTCCAGCCGGGGCGACAGAGCGAGACTCCGTCTCAAACAAACAAAAAGATTTGACCTCACAGACTCCCCTGTTCCTGTGTCCAGGCTCTGGAAGCCCCCGTGTGGGTCAGGGGGACTATGGGAGGCAGGACCAGAGCCACCTCAAGGAGAATGGGGCCTTAATAATTGTCTGCGCTCTTTCAGACAAGGACACTTTGAAGGGAGTTGATGCGAGCAACGCACTCGTTCTACCGGGGAAGAAGAAAAAGAAGACCAAAGCCCCTCCGCTGTCGAAGAAGGAGAAGAAGCCTCTGACCAAGAAGGAAAGGAAAGTGCTGCAGAAAATCTTAGAACAGAAGGAGAAAAAGAGCCAGGTACGCCCCACTCGGACAGGATCTGCACGTGGCTATCCAGAATAGAGAGAGATGGGGGGGTCTCTCTCCTCCTGAGGGGGTGTCTGTGGTGCAACTGATAGAACTTTCTGGAATGAGGAAAATTCCAGTGCATGGTCCAGTGCAGTAGCCACTAACCACATGTTGCTGTTGAGCACTTGAAATGCAGCTACTATGGCAGAGGAACTGAACTGAACTATTCTGGAGAATGTCCAACTTTTTTCCTTAATTGTTTTTTCTTCTTTTTTTCAAAATTTACATTTAATTTTTTTTTCCCTTTTTGTTTTGTTCCACCACCCCCCACACCTTTTCTGGCTCTACCAAACCTTAAATTTTTATTTTATTTTATTTTATTTTGAGATGGAGTCTTGGTCTGTTGCCCAGGCTGGAGTTCAGTGGTGCGATCTTGGCTCACTGCAAGCTCCGCCTCCTGGGTTCAAGCAATTCTCCTGTCTCAGCCTCCTGTGTAGCTGGGATTACAGGTGCATGCCACCACGTCAGGCTTTTTTTTTTTTTTTTGTATTTTTGGTAGAGATGTGGTTTCAGCGTGTTAGCCAGGATGGTCTTGATCTTCTGACCTCGTGATCTGCCGCCTTGGCCTCCCGAAGTGTTGGGATTACAGGTGTGAGACACCGCTCCCGGCCAACCTTAAATTTTTCATAGAGGAAAAAAGTTTGTCATGGGAAATTCAAACATATGCAAGAGTACAGAGAACAGTATGATGAACTCCCATGTGCCCATCACCAGCTCCAACATTGATCAGCCCCTGGTCAATCTTGGATTATCTCCACTGCTGGTCACTTTCCCACCCTTGGGTCATTTTGAAGCAAATCCCATGTACAATTAATCTGTGCTAGTTTCCTGGGGATGTCATACAAATGACCACAAACTGAGGGGCTTAGGACAGTATAAATTTGTTCCTTCCCAGCTCAGGAAGCCAGAAGTCCGAGATTAAGGCATCGGCAGGGCTGTGCTCCTCACTGGGCTCAGGGGAGGGTCATTCCTGGCCTCTTCCCGCTCCTGGCAGCTCCAGGCATTCCCTTGGCTTGTGGCTGCGTCACTCCAGTCTCTGCCTCCGTCTTCCCTCAGCCTTTCCTCCGTGTGTCTCTTCGAAGGGTGCTTCTCATTGGATTTAGGTCGCACTCACATACTCAGGATCATCTTGTCTTGAGATCCTTCACGTAGTTACGTAATTACATCTACAAAACCTTTTTTCCAAATAGGATCATGTTCGCAAGTTCCAGGATACAAACACATCTTTGAGGGAGGCTGCCATTTAACCCACTATACATAGCATTTTATCCATAAATATTTCAATTTGTATCTCTGTAAGTAGAGACTTTTAAAAATGACCAGAATACCATTAGCACTTCTAATCTTTTTTTTTTTTTTTTGAGACGGAGTCTCGCTCTCTGTCATCCAGGCTGGAGTATAGTGGCACAATCTTGGCTCACTGCCAGCTCTGCCTGCCAGGTTCATGCCATTTTCCTGCCTCAGCCTCCCGAGTAGCTGGGACTACAGGTGCCCGCCACCACGCCCAGCTAACTTTTTGTATTTTTAGTAGAGATGGGGTTTCACCGTTTTAGCCAGGATGGTCTCGATCTCCTGACCTTGTGATACACCCTCCTTGGCCTCCCAAAGTGCTAGAATTACAGGCGTGAGCCACCGTGCCCAGCCAACCTAATCTTTTATTTTAATATCAAGCATCTAGCAAATGGTTAAATTTCCTGTTGTTTCATGGATACTCCTCACCCATCTCTTGTTTTTTTTTCCCATTGCAGTTTATTTGTTGTTTGTCTTACAGAATTTCCTACCTTCTGGATTTTAAAAATTTTATTTTATTTTATTATTATTTTTTGAGACAGAGTTTCACTCTTGTTGCCCAGGCTGGAATGCGATGGCGCGATCTCGGCTCACCGCGACCTCCGCCTCCCAGGTTCAAGCGATTCTCCTGCCTCAGCCTCCCGAGTAGCTGAGATTACAGACATGCGCCACCATACCCGGCTAATTTTGTACTTTTAGTAGAGACGGGGTTTCTCCATGTTGGTCAGGCTGGTCTTGAACTCCCAACCTCAAGTGATCCACCTGCCTCAGCCTCCCAGAGTGCTGGAATTATAGGCGTGAGCCACTGCACCCAGCCTTAAAATTTTATTTTAAACATGCTCCTCTGCCGTCTGAGTTTTTTGTACATTAGTATTTGGATCTGTAGCAGTGACTCTCATCTGGGACAGTTTAGCGCCCCCCACCAGCCCCGGGGACATTTGGCATTGTCTTGAGACATTTTGGGATGTGACAACTTGGGAGTGTTGCTGGCATCTGGCGGGTGGAGCCATGGGATGCTGTTAACAGCCTACAATGCACAGAAAAACAAAAACTTATTTGGCCTAACTGTCAATAGTGCTGAGATTGAGGAACGCTGACCTGGAGGTTTCATGAGAATCAAGTTTGACTTTTGGTGAGGCCACTGCACGCAGGAGCTGTCTTTGTATCAGGAGGCTTGAAGGTCTCTCTCCGGCAGCCGTGGATGGGCAGTCCCCGGAACCTCAGCAGGGGGAAGACTCACTCACCTGTGAGCGTGTTCTTTATTTGTTTTGGAGACAAGGTCTTGCTCTGTCGCCCAGGCTGGAGTGCAGTGGTATGATCTTAGCTCACTGCAACCTCTGCCTCCCAGGTTCAAGCGATTGTCCTGCCTCAGCCTCCCGGGTACCTGGTACCACAATCATGTGCCATCACGCCCGGCTAATTTTTGTATTTTTAGTAGAGACAGGGTTTCACCATGTTGGTCAGGTTGGTCTTGAACTCCTGACCTCAGGTGATCTGCCTGTCTCGGCCTCCGAAAGTGCTGAGATGGCAGGCATGAGCCACTGCGCCTGGTCGGCATGTCCTGTTTAAATCCTATTTAGAATGCTTTCCCTTGGCCGGGTGCGGTGGCTCAAGCCTGTAATCCCAGCACTTTGGGAGGCCGAGACGGGCGGATCACGAGGCCAGGAGATCGAGAGACGATCCCGGCTAACACGGTGAAACCCCGTCTCTACTAAAAAATACAAAAAAACTAGCCGGGCGAGGTGGCGGGCGCCTGTAGTCCCAGCTACTCGGGAGGCTGAGGCAGGAGAATGGCGTGAACCCGGGAGGCGGAGCTTGCAGTGAGCTGAGATCCGGCCACTGCACTCCAGCCTGGGTGACAGAGCAAGACTCCGTCTCAAAAAAAAAAAAAAAAAAAAAAATGCTTTCCCACTGTGCTATACCTTGCTCTGTGTGTGTGTGTGTGGTGTGTGTGTAATACACACATAGAAGCGTGTATAAAACCTATATGTACAATTACAAGAACAATAAAGGAAAAACTCATGAAACCCTCACCCAACTGAAAGAAGCCAACTGGGTACATCCCCTGCACACAACATTGCTCAGGGTAGCTCGGGGACCAGTTCACATCAGACACACAAAGCCGCCTCCTTCCTCAGAGCGGCTAGGGAGCACTGCTGTACATGACTGAGCTGTGCTTTATTCGTCTCCTGTTGATGGACATCTGGTGGGCCATAATCTACTGTGATACCCTGCTGCAAAGAACCTCATTTATACAACCCCAGATTCTGTAAAAGGGGTTAAAAAAGCCATGCCAAGCTTGCTGTGTCTGTTGATGGAAGAACACCATGCAGCAGTAGAATTACAATTTGACCTCTGATTTTGAAGACTCCAGTTGTTAATGATGCTGAAATTTTATTAGAGTTTCACTTCCCTTCTTAGGAGAGGGTCATGATGGCAAATGCATAACACACTCGTTTCCTTTCCCAGCGAGCAGAGATGCTACAGAAGCTGAGTGAAGTCCAGGCTTCCGAAGCCGAGATGAGACTCTTTTATACCACCTCCAAGCTGGGCACTGGGGACCGCATGTACCACACCAAACAGTGAGCTGGCCATTCCTTTCCTAACCCTGCCCTCCCTCCAGGGCCCCCTAGGGAGGGTGCATAGGTGATGGGGTCCTCTGGGGGTGGAGCATTTGAGAAAATACCTTTGTGGTGGCCTGAGTGGCTGATAATTGATTATCATCCTAAATGCCTCTAGTGGGTAAAGGCCATAGATGCTGCTGAACCTTCTGCGACACACAGGACAGCAAAGTTTCTTGCTCCAGTAATGTCGGTGTTTTCCTGCGATGTAGAGTCCCATGTTACAGCTCCTCCAGCTTTTGTACAGCTGATTAGGCCAGAAATTGCCATTAGGTGGTCAAGGGCTGGATTTGGCCCGTCAGTGGGTTTTGCTCGGTTTGTGTTGTGTGGTTTTTTTTTTTTTTTTGAGACGGAGTTTCGCTCTTGTTGTTCAGGCTGGAGAGCAATGGCACAATCTCAGCTCACCGCAACCTCCACCTCCCAGGTTCAAGCGATTCTCCTGCCTCAGCCTCCCGAATAGCTGGGATTACAGGCATGTGCCACCACACCCGGCTAATTTTGCATTTTTAGTAGAGATGGGGTTTCTCCATGTTGGCCAGGCTGGTCTCGAACTTCCAACCTTGGGTGATCTGCCCGCCTTGGCCTCCCAAAGTGCTGGGATTACAGGCGTGAGCCACCATACTGGCCGGTTTGTGTCGTGTTTTAAGGCATGAGTGCTGTTTGCCAATATGTTAGCTTCCTGGTGCTGCCATAACAAATTACTGCAAACAACGGTGGCTTAGAACAACCAAGCCGGAAGGGCAGCTACTCTGGCAGCTGAGGTGGGAGGATCACCTGAGCCTGGGAGGTTGAAGCTACAGCGAGCCATGATTGCACCACTGCACTCCGTCCTGGGTGACAAGGCGAATTCATGCTCCCACCTAGTCTTGACTACTTGGACGATCCGGCCACACCAGCAGTGTCCCCACCAAGCTGCTGACCCTTAAATGGCCTGTGTGCCTCTCCCACCTAGTCCCACCAGGCTCTGTGGTCTCACTCAGCCTGTGCTGCTCGTTTACATGAGGCCTGGCCTGTGCCTGTGAGCACTGTTCAGTTAGTGACTGTTTATCAAGTGCAGACTGTCCCAGGCTCTCTGCTAGGCCCTGAGGGTAGAGCAGTGCACAGAAATAAAGTCCTTTCTCTTAAGGAGCTTCCCAGTGTCATGGGGGGAGATGTAATCGTGGGAAGTCATCAGGTGAGTGCATCTGTGTCCCATGCTGGGAAGCACTGAACAGAAAATGAAGCAGGGAAGAGCGAGGGAGAAGGGAGAGGTGTGGGGTCTGTGTGTGGTCAGGGAGTCTCCCTGACAGCTGGCACGTAAGCAGAGGCTTAAGTGGAGTGAGAGGAGCTATCTGTAGGAAGGGCATTTCAGGGAGTGGAACAGCAGGTGCAAAGGCCCTGAGGCAGAGAGGTGTGTGGCCCTGGAGTCCTGACCTCTGGGGACTGAGGTGGGGCCTCTGGGTCTGAAGTCTCTGCTGTCTCAACAGGAAGCCTGACGAGGTGGTGGCCCCAGGCCAGGAGAAGATCAGCAGCCTCAGCGGTGCCCACCGGAAGCGTCGCCGCCAGCCCTCAGCTGAGGAGGAGGAGGAGTCACAGGAGTCGGAGCTGGAGGGGGAGTCAGAGCTGGACGAGGACCCGGCTGCTGAGCTGGCTGAGGCTGGTGCGGGGACCACCGTGGCACCTCTGCCGCCAACTCCAGCACCCAGCTGTCAGCCCGCGCCGGCTGGGATGCCTGTTCCTCCTCCTCCAGCTGCAGCACCCCCACTGCCCAGGGCCCTGGCCAAGCCTGCTGTCTTTATCCCCGTGAACCGCTCCCTGGAAATGCAGGTTCGCTACCCTGTGCAGAGGTTTGATCTCAGCTGACTGCAACCTCCGCCTCCGATGCTCAAGTGATCCTCCTGCCTCACCCTCCCAAGGAGCCTGGGACTATGGGCACGCGCTACTATGCTTGGCTAACTTTGTATTTTTTTGTAGAGTCAGGGTTTTGCCATGTTGCACAGGCTGGTCTTGAACTCCCATGCTCAGGCAATCTGCCCACTTTGGCCTCCTAAAGTGCTGGGATTATAGGCATGAGCACCATGCCCGACCTTCACCGCCGTTTTAAACGTTCTTGTCCCTCTCCTATGAGCGCGTGTGCAGAAGTTTCTCTTGAGCAGTGTTTGCAGATGACGTCATAGCCATCTTTGGGTCATGAATTGAGTAGCTTTTAATCTTTTCTTTCTTTTTTTTTTTTTTTTTGAGACAGTGTCTTGTTTTGCCTGCCAGGCTGGAGTGCAGTGATGTGATCATAGTTCACTGCAGCCTCTACCTCCTGGGCTCAAGCAGTCCTCCCACCTCCGCTTCCTGAGTAGCTAGCACTACAGATATGTGCTATCATACCTGGCTAACTTTTTTATTTTTATTTTTTTGTAGAGACAGAATCTGGCTATGTTGCCCAGTCTGGTCTTGAATTTCTGGCCTCAAGCAATCCTCTGCCTTGGTCTCTCAAGTCTCTGGGATTACAGGTGTGAGCCATCATGCCTGGCCTCATATTTAAAAAAAAAAAAAAAAATGGAGGCCAGGCGCAGTGGCCCACACCTGTAATCCCAGCACTTTGGGAGGCTGAGGCGGGTGGATCACCTAAGGTCAGGAGTTTGACACCAGCCTGGCCAACGTGGTGAAACCCCATCTACTAAAAATACAAAAATTAGCCCGGCATGGTGGTGGGTGCCTGTAATCCCAGCTACTCGGGAGGCTGAGGCAGGAGAATCACCTGAACCTGGGAGATGGAGGTTGCAGTGAGCCAAGATCACACTATTGCACTCTACCCTGGGCAACAAGAGTGAAACTCCGTCTCAAAAAGTAAATAAATACAACAAATGGAATAAAATAGAATAGAAATAGAACAAAATTAAGAATATGAGCTTGTTGGCCAGGCATGGTGGCTCACGCCTGTAATCCCAGCACTTTGGAAGGTGGAGGCGAGCAGATCACCTGAGATCAGGAGTTCAAGACCAGCCTGGCCAACATGGTGAAACTCCATCTCTAAAACTACAAAAATTAGCCGGGCGTGGTGGCATGTGCCTGTAATCCCAACTACTCAGGAGGCTGAGGCAGGAGAATCACTTGAACCTGGGAGGCGGAGGTTGCAGTGAGCTGAGATCGCGCCACTGCATACGCATTAGGGTGAGCCATGTTTCACAGAACTGTTCCCTCCATATATGATACATATATGTGTCTGTGTGTGTACTGAGTCATGATATAAAATGTGTTTCTTTTCATGAGTCATAGGAAAAAATGTAGAAAGCACCTGCTCTGGAATATGTGCCTAGGAGAGGAACTGCAGGGCCACACACCCTTGACTTTGAGAAAATTTGCACCAGATTATTTGTCAAAGTGACTATGCCATTAATTGAGACTCCCGCCAGCGACAGCTGAGGGTTCCCGTATCTCTGAGAGACTGCTCTGCCCCAACCAGGCTGTGCCTGGTTCACACCATTCTCCTGCCTCAGCCTCCCCAGTAGCTGGGATTACAGGCACCCACCACCATGCCTGGCAATTTTTTTTGTATTTTTAGTAGAGACAGGGTTTCACCACGTTAGCCAGGATGGTTTCTATCTCCTGACCTCGTGATCCGCCCGCCTCGGCCTCCCAAAGTGCTGGGATTACAGGCGTGAGCCACCGCGCCCGGCCAAGAGACAGGGTTTCACCATGTTGGTCAGGCCGATCTTGAAGGATGTGATGAGGTCAGGCCTGGTATCCCGAAGGATGCGGTCCCTGTCTCTGTCTCACCTGGACCATGGCTCCTGGTCCCCTCCCCAGCTGTCAAGGCCTCCTTCCCCAGCAAGCGCATCTGTTCAGCACCCACATGTCAGCTGCCACCTTCCTGGAGGTCACATCATTGTCTGTCGTCTTGCTGCTGCCCAAGTGCTGACTTCGTCTCCTTCCAGGAAGAACGGCTGAAGCTCCCAATTCTCTCTGAAGAACAAGTGATCATGGAGGCTGTGGCCGAGCACCCCATTGTCATCGTGTGTGGTGAGACTGGCAGCGGGAAGACCACACAGGTGCCTCAGTTTCTCTATGAAGCAGGCTACAGCAGGTAGGGGCTGGACACAGTGTTCTCTCTAGGTCCCTCAGTGACACTGGAGATGCCCCGAAAGGTGGATGAGAGCCTGGGGCTCCCTGGGATCTGATCCTGGATCTGCCCTGTGCATGCTGTGTGACTTCAGACAAGCTACTTAACCTCTCTGGGCCCCAGCTGTGAGATGGGAATAATGGCACCTACTTCACAAGGTTGTCATGTGGATTAAGTGAGTGAACTTGCGTAGCACACTTTATCCCTGGCACATAGAGCTATGTGCTTCCTATTTTCTTTTTTCCTTTTTTTTTTTTGAGACAGTGTCTCACTGTGTCGCCCAGGCTGGAGTACAGTGGCGCGATCTCAGCTCACTGCAAGGTCCGTCTTCCAGGTTCACACCATTCTCCTGCCTCAGCCTCCCAAGTAGCTGTGATTACAGGTGCCGGCCACCACGCCTGGCTAATTTTTTGGTATTTTTAGTAGATATAGTGTTTCACCACGTTAGCTAGGATGGTCTCGATCTCCTGACCTCGCGATCCGCCCACGTCAGCCTCCCAAAGTGCTGGCATTACAGGCGTGAACCACTGTGCCCGACCAAGAGACGGGGTTTCACCATGTTGGTCAGGCTGGTCTCGAACTCTTGACCTCAGGTGATCCACCCACTTTGGCCTCCGAAAGTGCTGAGATTACAGGCGTGAGCCACCGCGCCCGGCCTGTGCTTACTGTTTTCACTGTGTAGCCCCCTGTGGGCACTTTTGACCCATGTTTGTTGGGGTCCCCAAGACCATGTGCAGGTTCGATAATTGGGGACTTCCGGGACTCAGCTTGTTATCCCGTGCATGGCTATAGTATGTTACAGCAAAGGACGCGATCGGCAGAGGGCAGTGGCACCTGTGGTGTTCGGGGGAAGCCCAGCTCCAGCTTCCAGAGTCCCCTCCCGGTGGACTCACACAGGACACACTGGATTCTCCAGTGGCCACCTGTGGCCACACAGAAACTACCCTGCACCAGGGAAGCTTGTTAGAGATTCAAGGTTCACGGCTATTATTGGGGTAGCCTAAGCCCACCCTGCCTGGCAGGAACGAAATCCTAGATGCCTAGAAGGAAAGGAGGTGTCCGGCATAAACCACCCTGTTTGCACAAACAGCCTGGGCACGGTGGGCCCGCACTTACAGGGAATGGAAGGAGCTCTCCTGTTGTCCAGGTTCAGGCACCCAGCGAGGACCAGCCCTGTCAGCAGCCTTTCGAGGGAGAGCAGCCCCAGGCCTGTGGCATTAACATTCCCACAGAGCTGGGACCAGCCACCCGTCGGCTTGGCGGGTTCCTGTGTCTGGAGGAGCTTGTGCTTGACTGGGGCAAACAGAGCTCCCAGCCTGGTTCCCCCAGGCCCCGTTCCTTCTAGTGGCTGCCTGGTGTCCGCTGCACCGTGAATGTTGAACCGTTTTCTGTATGTTGTTGGCATTTGGGCTGTTCCCTTTGCTGTTAAAAGTAGTGCAGCCTGGCCTTGTTTCCCATGGCCCCTGGGCGAGCACCAGGTCAGTATGGTGAATCTTGCTGTGGAACTGCATGAGGCTTTGGGATGAGCAGGTGGGGCCACGCACTGTTGATGGCCATGTTCTTCCTCCCCCAGTGAAGACAGCATCATCGGTGTCACAGAGCCCCGCCGAGTGGCCGCCGTGGCCATGTCCCAGCGAGTGGCCAAGGAGATGAATCTGTCCCAGCGGTGAGGGCTCTACTTCCTGGGGGGAACTATGGGGTGGTCCTGTGGCCTTGCCCAGACCTCCTGGGAAGCCCAGGAGGAGATGAGCGGCGTCTGTGCTGAGGGTGCTGGGTGGAGTGTCACCTCTGCGTGTAGCACTGGGAATCATTGTGGGAGACAGCTTTCCAGGACCTGCCCAAGCAGGCAGCCTTCAAGCAGGCCCTCGGCTTACATCCTGCACAGTATGCGGAGGGGACAGAGTGGCCCATCCAGGGGCTCGAGAACAGAGCAGGGGGCCAGATGCAGGCAGTCACGGAGCTAGTACCTAGCATTGCCAGGTTAATGTGAAACTCAAGGTTCTAAAGTACAAAATCTTGGCTGAGTGTGGTGACTCACGCCTGTAATCCCAGCACTTTGGGAGGCCGAGGCGGGCAGATCACCTGAGGTCGGGAGTTTGAGACCAGCCTGACCAACATGGAGAAGCCCTGTCTCTACTAAAAATACAAAATGAGCCAGGTGTGGTGGCACATGCCTGTAATCCCAGCTACTCAGGAGGTTGAGGCAGGAGAATCACTTGAACCTGGGAGGCAGAGGTTGCCATGAGCCAAGATTGCGTCATTGCACGCCAGCATGGGCGAAAAGAGTGAAACTCTGTCTCAAAAAGAAAAGAAAAAAAAATCTGGCAGTAAGTCTGTAGGACTTTCTTTGGAAAGCAACCTTGAACAGGCAGATATAGCACTTGCTTTGCAATGGCTGGGAGCACGTGTTTATAATGCAGATGCCTGTATCTAACATGTCCAACGTGGTCTAAAATCCAGAAGGCACAAAAGAGCACAGAGTGAGAGCCTGCCTCATCCGCCCACTCATCAGATGTTACTAGGCAGCATCTAGTGTGCCAGGCCCATCCTGGGCTCTCAGGATGTGGTGGTGGGCCGGACAGAGCCACGGCCCCCAGGTCAGCCTGCCAGTCGGGGGTGGGCCGGACAGAGCCACGGCCCCCAGGTCAGCACGCCAGTCGGGGGTGGGCCCGACAGAGCCACGTCCCCCAGGTCAGCACGCCAGTTGGGGGACTTGGTGTCTGTCGGTTAGGCAGGGAGGACACTAAGGCAGGGATGGAGTACTGGGGGCCCCTTCTCACCCAGTGCCCTGCCTCCTCCCCAGGAGCAGCCAGCACTGCCCATCTCCTGCACATCCTCCTGGACAATTGTGTGCATAGTCAGCGTGCGTCTAGAAAAAACTGCCTCATCCTCTTTTTAACTTGTTAAATATTATAAAAATGTGAGGACTGGGCATGGTGGCTCATGCCTGTAATCCCAGGACTTTGGGAGGCCTTGGCGGGCAGATCACCAGAGGTTGGGAGTTCGTAGCTAGCCTGACAAACATGAAGAAAGCCTGTCTCTACTAAAAATAAAAAAAAAATTAGCCGGATGTGGTGGCGTACACCAGTAATCCCAGCTATTCAGGAGGCTGAGGCAGAAGAATCGCTTGAACCTGGGAGGTGGAGGTTGCCATGAGCTGAGATCACGCCATTGCACTCTAGCCTGGGCAACAAGAGTGAGACTCCATCTCAAAAAATTGGGGGCATATGCATAAGTAGAAAGGATAGTATAATAAGCCCCCAGGTACCCAAGACCTAGTTATAATAATTGTCAACTCCTGCCCTACCCTGTTGGGTCTGTACTCTCCTCCTGGCCCCCTCCCCACCACTGTTTAGAAGCAAATCATAGATACTTTATCCTCGATATTTTGCTGTACAGATCTGAGAGATAAGGACTAATTTTTTTTTTTTTTTTTTTTTTTGAGATGGAGTCTCGCTTTGTCACCTAGGTTAGAGTTCAATGGCGTGATCTTGGCTCACTGCAACCTTTGCCTCCAGGGTTCAAATGATTCTCCTGCATCAGCCTTGCGAATAGCTGGAATTGCAGGTGCCCGGCTAATTTTTGTGATTAGTAGAGACGGGGTTTCACCATGTTGGCCAGGCTGGTCTTGAACTCCTGACCTCAGTTCATCCACCCATCTCGGCCTCCCAAAGTGCTGGGATTATAGGCGTGAGCCATTTTTTGTTTTTTTGAGATGACTCTGTTGCTCAGGCTGCCCTGCAGTGGTGCCATCTTGGCTCACTACAGCCTCAACCTCTTGGGCACAAGTAATTCTCCCACCTCAGCTTCCTGAGTAGCTGGGACTACAGGTGCGCACCACCACACCAGGCTAAGTTTTGAGTTAAGACAAGGACTTTTTGTGAAACACACACAGCTATAGTACCCCTATGATAGCTGCCAAGTCTGTGTAGTCTCCAGAGCACACTCCAGCCCACGTGCAGGTCTCCCCGGCGTCTCCTGGCATAGTCGCCATCCGAGGAGGGCTCTGGCCAAGGTGTTTGGGGCCTGGCTCCTCAGTTGCCCTCAACAGCTCCTTCCCTTCCCTTCAGAAACCAGGATTTTGGAGGGGGAGAGTGGACTGGGGAGATGTCTGGGCCTTGTTTCAGGTTGCTGGTGGGCCCTGCCCTCAGGCCGCCTGCCTGTTCCATGACCTGCCTTGTAGTGGCCCCGTGGCGACAGCCCCAGCCAGGCGTGGCTCTGCCCTAAACCGAACTCTGCCTACACAGGGTCGTCTCCTACCAGATCCGGTATGAAGGAAACGTGACAGAGGAGACCAGAATCAAGTTCATGACGGATGGTGTGCTGCTCAAAGAAATCCAGAAGGTTGGTTGCGGATCCTGGCGCACAGAGCAAGGCCAGTGGGCGTGGGGGCGGGTGCTAGGCGTAGCACTCCCACGGTGCTGCTGTGTGACTTTGGGTGAGTTACTGAACCTCTCCAAGCTCAGTTTCTTGATGAGTATGTTAGTGCATTCCTCAGAGAATCATTTTGAAGTGGAAATTGTAGAGTGCATGCCAACAGCTTAGCACAGTGCCCCGTACCTAGAAGGTGCTCGTGAAATGTGAACTTGTATTTTTATTATAACTGACTCACAGAGTTCACGCCTTGCCCAGGGTGTACTGAAAGCCTGTGGTGTGCAGGCTCTGCCCTGCGGTGGGCCCAGACACAAACACCTCTTGGGAGCTTCGAGTCCCGTTGCGTTTGGTGAGGGGCAGCACCAGACTCGGAGTGGGGTGCCAGCCTCAGGCTGGGGGACAGGGGAGCCGTTGGGCCTTGCCCTTGAGAAGGGATGTGTCTTCACGGTCCCTGGCCACAGAAGCTGCGTCCCAAGGTCTTTCCGTTTGTAAATCGGAACCCGAGCTGCTGCCTCCCATCAGCGCACTTGGGCCTTGGGGAAGCGCCCCACGCTTCCTAGGGAGCTGGCCATTTGATCAAGCGGATGGCACGCGTGTCTGGAGAGCCTGCAGGGCCCGGGTAGGGGACTGCTGTCTGGTGAAGAAGCTGTGCTCCGTGCTGGCTGTGACATCCCCTTGGGCAGGGCCAGTCTCCCAGGGGTATGGCAAAGGTGATTCCAGCCCTCCTGGCTTGGAGGCCACTGGGACTCCTGGGGGTGTCGGTGGATGCAGTTTGGGTCCGGGTGGCCCCTGTGTGTGTGGCATCTGCTGTCCGACTGCCCACGGCCCCACCCCCCATCTCATGTCCATTTCCCACCTGCCCTCCTGCCCTGCGGGCATCGAGTTGAGCAGCTCACCTCTGAAGAAGAGCAGCTGCCCTTCCTCTCACACTGTCTCCTCAAGTGGGAGTTCTGAGACGTGAAGCGGCCCTTGGGGCTCAGGCCGGGAGGGCGGGCCTCACCCCTGGACCTCCCCCCAGGACTTCCTGCTGCTGCGGTACAAGGTGGTGATCATCGACGAGGCCCACGAGAGGAGCGTGTACACGGACATCCTCATCGGCCTCCTGTCCCGCATTGTGACTCTCCGGGCCAAGGTAGAGCAGGAGGCAGGTGCTGGGGAGCCCCGAGCCCTGGGCCCCCCCAGCTCTGTCGGAGGCTTGGGCTCCCTTCACTTGCTCCCCGTTGCACCCTGGGCTGCTGCCATGAGCAGGTGCCCCAAGGACAAGGTCCCCTTGGGCCTAGGTCTAGGCCCTGTGCCAGGGCCGTGAATCTTGGAACAGCCCCTGTATGATCCCTTCCCCACCGCCCCGGCACCAGCCTCATAAACTGGTATCCTTCTGCGCACCCAAAGCAAGAGGCTCAGGCGAAGTGCTGATGCCTGGCCAGGCGCAATGGGCCAGTTGATGAGGCCTCTGGGCCTCTGGGATCAGCAGAGCGGGTGGGCCTGCCCGGCCAAGGGTCAGACTCCCGGAACTCTGAGAGGGGCTCCCCAGGGCCTCTTTCTCCATCTCCCTGCCCCAACCTGACACAGGCCTGCTGAGTGGAGGGTGCCACCCGGGGGCTGGGCTCCATGCAGGAGGCCTGTCCTACCCTCCCGGCGGGGAGAGGGGCCTGTGCTCCACATGTGCCACGAACCTGGCCACGTTCAAGGCCCTGATAATTGACAGTGCACAAGACACCATCTTGTTCTAACAGTTCCTGCCCTCCTGGGGCTTCCACTTCAGCAAGGGTGGCAGGCAGGACGCAGACTCAGAGTGTGTGAGCCAGTGACGGACAAAACTGGGGGCAGTGGAGGGAGGATGCGGGGCTAGTGAGAGTTTCACCCGAAAGGTGACCTCTGAGCTTGAGTGGAGGGCTGAGTGAGGGAGGGAGCGAGCAGCGTGCGTCGCAGAGCAGGGAGAAGTCTGACCGGAGGAGCGCAGTGCAGAGGTCTGGAGGCGGGCATCTGCCTGGTGCCTTTTTTCTTTTGGTAACAGGCTTTATTGGGCTGTGATTCATTTTTCATATCATTCATCCATTCAAATGTACAATTCAATGGTTTTTAGTCCATTCACAGAGTGTGCAGCCATCACCACAGTTTTACGTTTCATCACTCATCAATCCCAAAAGAAACCCTAGGCCGGGCACGGTGGCTCACGCCTGTAATCCCAGCACTTTGGGAGGCTGAGGTGGGTGGATCACTTGAGGTCAGGCGTTCGAGATCAGCCTGGCGAACATGGTGAAACCCTGTCTCTACTAAAAACACAAAAATTAGGCCTGGTGGGCCGGGCGCGGTGGCTCAAGCCTGTAATCCCAGCACTTTGGGAGGCCGAGACGGGCGGATCATGAGGTCAGGAGATCGAAACCATCCTGGCTAACACGGTGAAACCCCGTCTCTACTAAAAAATACAAAAAACTAGCCGGGCGTGGTGGCGGGCGCCTGTAGTCCCAGCTACTTGGGAGGCTGAGGCAGGAGAATGGCGTAAACCCGGGAGGCGGAGCTTGCAGTGAGCTGAGATCCGGCCACTGCACTCCAGCCTGGGTGACAGAGCAAGACTCCGTCTCAAAAAAAAAAAAAAAAAAAAAAAATTAGGCCTGGTGGCGGGCGCCTGTAATCCCAGCTACTCGGGAGGCTGAGGCAGGAGAATCACTTAATCCCAGCGGGTAGAGCTTGCAGTGAGCCGAGATTGCGCCACTGCACTCCAGCCTGGGTGAGAGAGCGAGACTTCATCTGAAAAACAAAAACAAAAAGAAACCCTGTGCCTTTTACGGTTTTTTGTGGTGGTGATTTTTGTTTTGTTTTGTTTTTTTGAGGCACAGTCTCATTGTCACCAAGGCTGCAGCGCAGTGGTGCAATCGCAGCTCACTGCAACCCCGACCTTCTGGGCTTAAGGAATCCTTTTGCCTCAGCCTCCCAAGAAGCTGGACCATGGTCACTCTGTAACCATTTGCAAATGATTTCCGACAGTGGCTGCAGAGTTCCATGGTACTTCCCCACCAGCAGTGGCAGAGCTTCCAGCTTCTCCACATCCTGCTAACACTTGTCATTTTCCATTATTATTATTCTAGACATCCCTGTGGGTGGAAAGTGATATCTCACTGTGGTCTTGGTTTGCGTCTTTAGGGAGTCTAGAGTGGCCAAGCAGCGAGCATGAGGTGGAGTCAGGAAGGCATGGGGGTAGGGCAGAGAGGGACGGTCACTGTGGAGCAAGAGAGGGGCCTGTGCTGGGCGCCATGCCTCCCACAGAGGTGCTCTGGCCACTCCTTAGCTTCTGGGTTTGGGGTTTCCTAGCAGCAAAGGCAGCAAGGGCTTGAAGCAGAGCTCATCATGAGGCCATCAAGCATTGCTGAGCGGCCTGGGGACCAGAGAGCTCCCTCCCACCCCCACAGACCTCCGAGAATCAGGCAGCTCCTCCCTGAGCCCCCAGAACAGACACCCGGTGAATCTTGGTGTCAGGTGGGAGCTAGGTTGGGTGGGCCCCAGTCTCAGCCCACCTGCCTCATATTCCACCATCAAAGCCTGACTCTGAAAGACACCCTGGAACAAGCCACCGCCCTGGGAGCAGCAGGTCCCGCTATTGACGCACTTTCTCCAAGGAGCCTTTGGCATCCAGAAAGGGGCAGAGGGTGGGGGCTGGAAACGGGGTGGGCAGCAGGGCACCCTCATGCTGATTTCCCAGGCTTCGGACCCACCTGTAGTACTGGGGCCGCGGTCACCAAGCCTGTCCTCCCACAGAGGAACCTGCCACTCAAGCTGCTCATCATGTCGGCCACGCTGCGGGTGGAGGACTTCACCCAGAACCCGCGGCTCTTCGCCAAGCCGCCCCCGGTCATCAAGGTAACACAGGGTCCCAGGTCCTCCGTGAGCTTGGACGGCACAAGGTCGCCCTGGTGTCGGGAGCCTCCTGAGAGACCTCACTTGGTCCCATGCGGGATTGACAGCAGCTTGGAGAGGGTGTTGGAAACCTTGATTCAGAATGATGGGGAAAGGGAAGGCAGCCCTGGGCCGAAGCTCGCCCCCCACTGCGCCTTTCTGGGCATCCCACAGGTGGAATCCAGGCAGTTCCCAGTAACTGTGCATTTCAACAAGCGGACACCACTGGAAGACTACAGCGGCGAGTGCTTCCGGAAGATTTGCAAGATCCACCGGATGCTGCCCGCAGGTGAGGCCCTGGCCAGGTCAGGGGAAAGGAGCCTCCCTTCCTAAACCCTCGCTGAAGGCACAAGTGTGGGAGGGCCCATCTCCGAGTGGCTCAGAAAAGTCCCTTGTCCCTGCTAGGCCTCACTTCCTCACTTACTCCAGAGTGTTCACAACACCTGTCCTGCCTTATTCCACTCAAAATACTGTGAGGCTTCAGCAGCTACCAGATGGTAGAGTTTGCCATCTGTCCCCATCTGATAAGCAGAAAAACCCACAGAGCCCAGGCCGGTGCTGGCAGGTGACCATAGACACTGCAGGGGAACAGGCACATCCCCTCGAGAATCACGGATACCCTTCACAGTTCTGCCTTGTCCCCATCACACCCGATCCTTTACTCACCTCATGTTACGGAAATGGACGTGACCTTTCTGTGTGAATAGATTGTGATCACTTCTAGCCAGTGATCACTCCTACTTTTTTTTGAGACAGAGTTTTACTTTTGTTGCCCAGGCTGGAGTGCAGTGGCGGATCTTGGCACACTGCAACCTCCACCTCCTGGGTTCAAGCAATTCTCCTGCCTCAGCCTCCCAAGGAGTTGAGATTACAGGTGCACACTGCCACGCCCGGCTAATTTTTTGTATTTTAGTAGAGATGGGGTTTCATCATGTTGGCCAGGCTGGTCTCGAACTCCTGACCTCAGGTGATCTGCCTGCCTCAGCCTCCCAAAGTGCTGGAATTACAGGTGTGAGCCACCGCGCCCAGCCTAATCAGAGACTCTTGTGTGCCGATTTCGGGCCCAAGGCTGACTTTCTTCATGTTAGGGAGGCAGGGAGCCGTGGGGGTGCTTCCCACCAAGCTTGAACTCCTCCTTCAAGGAAGCTGAGGTCGCTGCTTCATGATGCTCTGTCCTTGGTCTGCTTACAGCCTCTCGGGGCTCCCATCCATTCTCTGGGAGACTGGGGCTGGCGGGAGGCGAGGCGGAAGCTTGGGCAGTGAGCCTTCCTGCAGCCTCGGGTCTCAGGGCAGCCACGGCGCTGTCACAAGTGTGGTGTGCAGGTTTTCACTTGAGCACATTTCTCAGGGCTTTTGGGTCTGTGCCTGGGAGTGGCGTTGCTGGGCTGTGTGGTCGCTGTGTTTGTTGAACTCCCTGGCAACAGCTCCTTCAGTCTGGGGGTGCTGCCTCCTGCTCGTCTATGTCTGTGTACCCCTGTCCTCCCGCATTATCCCTGGAGCCCCGCCTCTCAGAGCAGGGCCTGGCAGGTGCCCATTGCTAAGCAAATGTTTGTGAGTGACTGATGGATAACAGAGGGGCCCGTTCTTTCCGCAGGCGGCATCCTGGTGTTCCTGACGGGGCAGGCTGAGGTGCACGCGCTGTGCCGCAGGCTCAGGAAGGCTTTCCCACCCTCCAGAGCCCGGCCACAAGGTAAAGAGGACTCCCCGACCCGCGCTCTGCCCTGAGCAGCTGGGCCTGGCCTCACGCTCCCTGGCTGGGGTGCAGCTCCCGCCTCTGAGCTTCCCTCTGGGAGCGTCAGCACCTTTGCCGTCCCCCACCTCACCCCCGAATAAATGGCCGTGCCTTGAACAACAAAGAACAGTGTGCTAGCGACCATGCGTGCCACACATGCCTTTCTCTCCAACCTGCCCCTTTTCCAGAAAAGGACGATGATCAGAAAGACTCAGCGCAGGAAATGCGGAAGTTTAAGAAGTCGAGGGCCAGGGCCAAGAAGGCGCGGACCGAGGTACGTGGGGGGCTGGCAGGGACTCCTGGAGAGTAAGGCTGCGTTGTCCAGGATAGCAGCCACCAGCACCATGTGGCTGCTTAGGTTTAAGTGTAATTGGAATAAAATGAAATTAAAAATCCAGTTCCTGGTCGGGCGCAGTGGCTCATGCCTGTAATTCCAGCACTTTGGGAGGCCAAGGTGGGAGGATCGTTTAAGGCCTAGAGTTTGAGACCAGCCTGGGCAACATGGTGAGACCCTGTCTCTACAAAAAATTTTTAAAATTAATCCAGTGTGGTGGCACATGCCTGTGGGCCCAGCTGCTCAGAGGCTGAGGTGGGAGAACCATCTGAACCCAGGAGGTCAAGGCTGCAGTGAGCCGTGATGGCCCTACTGCACTCCAGCCTGGGCAACAGAGTGAGACTCTGTCTCTGAAAAGGAAAAGAAGGCCAGGCGTGGTGGCTATGCCTGTAATCCCAGCACTTTGGGAGACTGAGGCAGGTGGATCACCTGAGGTCAGGAGTTCAAGTCTAGCTTGACCAACATGGCGAAACCCCGTCTCTACTAAAAATACAAAATTAGCCAGGCATGGTGATATGCGCCTGTACTCCCAGCTACTCTGGGATGGCTGGGCTGGGAGGTGCTTTCCTCTAGCCGCTGCATGAAGGCACCGTGGGTCTTGCGGTCCGTGACAGTAGCGTAAACGCTCAGCCGTCTCCAACTTGCCTGTTGCACTACTGATGTGTCAGGCAGTGATCCAAGTTCTTCACATGTGTTCACACAACCCTCCCACCAGCCTGAGAGACAAGGTCTGTGATAGTCCCCATTGTTTAGGTGGGGACACTCAGACAGGAAGAGATAGTTATGTGGCCTGCCCCGGGTCACACGGCCCGTGGGTGTGGACTGGGACTTCCACATGAGGGCACCTGTCTTCCTGCACATGCCTCATCCTCACACCCAGGGTCCCTGCAACCCGGGTGTCTATGTGTTCGCCGTAGGTGCTGCCCCAGATCAACTTGGATCATTACTCAGTGTTGCCGGCAGGCGAAGGCGATGAGGACAGGGAGGCGGAAGTGGACGAGGAAGAGGGGGCTCTGGACTCCGACCTCGATCTGGACTTGGGGGATGGCGGGCAAGATGGAGGTGTGTTCCTAGCCCCGCTTCCTGCTCACGTGCATTAGCTCTGCCCTGAGGCTGTGCCCAGAGCCCTTGTGGCCCCCTGGGGGCCGGGGTTCTAGCAGCTTTGTCCTCGATGCTTCCTGAGTTCTTTGAAAGTGCCGGGCACGAGGAGGCCTGGAACATTTGCCGTGCTGGATGTAATGGGGCTGCCAACCCCTTTGCTGACAGGTGCGGGTCTCCAGGGCCCAGGGGTGTTGCCCCGCTCCGTGTGCTCGCAGGAGCCCCCGAATGTAGATGGACCCAGTGCCCTGCTGTCAGCCAGGGGCTGAGTGGGGCAGCAGAGGGTACCCCAGTACTGGCTCAGCCTGAGCCTACCACAGTGCTGCCAGGACACGAGGAGCAGAGTCAGGCCCCCAGGATCCATGCCAGGGGTTTGGAGGAGGAGATTGTGCAGCACAGCAGGGGTTCAGATCCGACTCAGGGCAGTAGAGACCAGAGAGCCCCTGGGAACCTCTCAGCAGTCCCCCCAGGTTTGGCCTGGCTGGTCCCAAGGGGAGCCTCCTCAGCAGGGCAAAGAAAGGAGTTCTGGTGGAGCAGCCTACGGGTGCAGGGCAGCTGTGGCTGGCTCCTGCCTGTGGGCATCTGTCCCGGCCCGGTTGCCAGTAACCTCTGCTTTCCCTCCAGGTGAGCAGCCGGATGCCTCCCTCCCACTCCACGTGCTCCCGCTGTACTCTCTGCTGGCCCCAGAGAAGCAAGCACAGGTAACCGTGCTGGGCCGGTGCCCAGCTTTTGGGGCACTTTTAAGGACATTGCAGTGAGGTTAGTCAAGCCCTTGGTCCTCTCCATCTGCTGTTTGACCAGCATCCCCAGAGTTTTGAGGAATATTGAGGTAGTTTTGGAGAACAGGGAACAGTCCTGCAAGGCACTGGGTCCCAGATGGGGTGGCTTGTCCTTGCTACCTCTCCAGCACACCAGCCTGGGTGGCTCTGTCCTTGGACCTCCATTCTACGATTTCGTTCCTGATTCTGGTGTTTTCCTGCCATCCCCTCCCTGAATCCTAGGTCTTTAAGCCTCCACCGGAGGGGACTCGGTTGTGTGTTGTGGCCACCAACGTTGCCGAGACGTCTCTTACAATCCCTGGCATCAAGTACGTGGTGGACTGTGGGAAGGTCAAGAAGCGTTACTACGACCGCGTCACCGGCGTGTCCTCCTTCCGCGTCACCTGGGTCTCCCAGGCATCAGCTGACCAGCGAGCAGGCAGAGCAGGACGGACAGAGCCCGGCCACTGCTACAGGTGGGTTACCCAGGCTCCTCCTCAGGGACGTTGGCGCCGCCTTGCAATAGCCACTGAGGAACAAGGGAAGGACACTGACCCCACCTCCATCTGTAGTGCGTCCCATGTCCTGCCGGGCCCCTGTGACTTTGGGGTACTCCCCAGCCCTTTTGCTGGCTTTCAGATACTCACAGTATTTCTTTCTTTTTTTTTTTTTTTTTTGAGATGAAGTTTCACTCTTGTCACCCAGACTGGAGTGCAATGGCGCGATCTCGGCTCACTGCAACCTCCACCTCCTAGATTCAAGCAATTCTCCTGCCTCCGCCTCCTGAGTAGCTGGGACTATAGGTGCCCACCACCACTCCCAGCTAATTTTTGTATTTTAATTTTATTTATTTATTTAAATTTTTGTATTTTTAGTAGAGACAAGGTTTCAGCATGTTGGCCAGAGTGGTCTCAAACTCCTGACCTCAGGTGATCCACCCGCCTCAGCCTCCCAAAGTGTTGGGATTACAGACGTGAGCCACCGCGCCCGGCCTACTTGCACTCTTTCTTTTTTTTTTCTTTTTTTTTTTTCAAGACGGAGTCTTGCTCTGTTGCCCAGGCTAGAGTGCAGTGGCGCGATCTCGGCTTACTGCAAGCTCCACCTCCCGGGTTCACGCCATTCTCCTGCCTCAGCCTCCCAAGTAGCTGGGACTACAGGTGCCCGCCACCACGCCCGGCTAATTTTGTATTTTTTTATTTTTTTTTGTATTTTTAGTAGAGATGGGGTTTCACTGTGTTAGCCAGGATGGTCTCGATCTCCTGACCTCGTGATCCGCCCATCTTGGCCTCCCAAAGTGCTGGGATTACAGGCGTGAGCCACCGTGCCCAGCCCACTGTTTCTTTATTCTGCTACTGAGGTCAGGGCCAGCTCTTGAGTGCTGTTTGTTTTGTTAACAGCTTGATCAGGATATAATTCACATACCATAAAGTGCATAATTTTAGAGCGTACAATCCAGGAGTTTTTAGGACAGTCACAGAGTTCTGCAACCATCACCACAATCAATGTCAGAACTTCCCATCAACCCAAAAAGAAACCCCGTGGCCGTTGCGGTCACCCCCATTCTTCCCCGCCCCACCCTGTGGCAAGCAGCAGTCCGCTAGTGTTTGTCTCTAGGGATGTGCCTGTTGTGGACAGTTCAGATAAATGCAATAAAGTCATACAAGGTGTCGCCCCTCGTGTCTGGCCTCTGCCGCTCAGCACGGTAAGTTTTTGAGGCTCACCCCGGGTGGCTGGTGTCAGCATCCCGCTCCTGGCCGTGGCTGAATGATATCGCACCATATGGATGTGCCAAGTTTTGTTTGTCGGTTCATTAGCTGGTGGACGTTTGGTTGTTTTCACCTCGTGGCTATTGTGGATAGTGCTGCTCTGAACACTCAGGTACAAGGATTTGCCTGACTCTGTTTTCATTGCTCTTGCAGTGGAACCTAAGAGAACCACTGTGCCGTATGGTAACTCTGGGTTTAACTTACCGAGGAACCACCAAACTGTTTTCCACAGCAGCTGCCCCATTTTACATGCCTACCAGCAGTGAATGAGGGTTTCAGTTTCTTCACATCCTCACCAACACTTTTTTATTTTTTTTTTGAGATGGAGTCTTGCTCTGTCACCCAGGCTGGAGCACAGTGGTGCAATCTCAGCTAACTGCAACCTCCGCCTCCCGGATTCAAGCAGTTCTCCTGCCTCAGCCTCCCAAGTAGCTGGAATGATAGGCATGCATCATCATGTCCATATAAGTTTTTGGTTTGTTTGTTTGTTTTGTTTTTGAGACTGAGTCTCGCTGTTGTCAGCCTGGGCTAGAGTGCAATGGCTCAATCTCAGCTCACTGCAACCTCCGCCTCCGGGGTTCCAGCAATTCTCCTTCCCCAGCCTCCCAAGTAGCTGAGATTACAAGTGCCCACCACCACGCCCAGCTAATTTTTGTATTTTTAGTAGAAATGGGATTTCACCATGTTGGGGCCAGGCCTGGGTGGCCGGAACTCCTATACTGGGGGGGGGGGGGGGGGGGGGGGGGGGGGGGGGGGGGGGCGCATGACTCCAGCGGCTGATGTTCAAAAAAAAAAAAAAAAAAAATGGCCAGCCTGGTCTCGAACTCCTGACCTCAGGTGATCCACCTGCCTCAGCCTCCCAAAGTGCTGGGATTACGGGCGTGAGCCATGGTGCCCGGCCAATTTTTAGATTTTTGGTAGAGACAGGGTTTCACCATGTTGGCCGGGTTGGTCTCGAACACCTGCCTCGGCCTCCCAAAGTGCTGGGATTATAGGCATGAACCACCGCACCTGGCCAGCACCAACACTTATTTTTAATATTTTTGTTTTGCTGGGGTTTTTTCTGAGAGACAAGGTCTCGCTCTGTTGCTCAGGCTGGAGTTCAGTGGCATAAGTATAGCTCACTGCAGCCTCTGCTTTCTGGGCTCAAGCAGTCTTCCCGCCTCAGCCTCCCACGTAGCTGGGAGTAGAGGCACGTGGCACTGTGCCTGGCTTCAGGTGTTTTTTTTGTTTTGTTTTGTTTTAATGTGTGACTATGTCCTGTCACACAGCCCTGCCGAGGTCCTGAGAATATGTGCCCCTACCTACCCCACCCCCACTTTTTTTTATATGAAAGCTTCAGTATATTTGAAGTGGGTGTGAAGTGGTATCACACTGTGGCTTTGGTTTGTTTCCCTAATGATGGCCTCTTTTCATATGCTTACTGGCCCTTCATGCATCTTCCTAGGTAACGTCTATTCAGATCTTTCACTCATTTTTTAATTAGGTTATTTGTCCTTTTATTGTTGATCTGTAAGAGTTCTTTAGGCCAGGCACTATGGCTCACGTGCCTGTAATCCTAGCACTTTGGGAGGCCAAGACGGGCAGATCACAAGGTCAGGAGTTCAAGACCAGCCTGGCCAACATAGTGAAACACTGTCTCTACTAAAAATACAAAAATTAACTGGGCATGGTGGTATGCACTTGTAATCCCAGCTACTTGGGAGGCTGAGGCAAGAGAATCACTTGAACCTGGGAGGCAGAGGTTGCAGTGAGCCAAGATCACGCCCCTGCACTCCAGCTTGGGCGACAGAGCGAGACTTTGTCTCAAAAAAAAAAAAAAAAAAGTTCTTTATGTAACCTGGATATTAGATCCTAGTCAGATGTGTCATTGACAAATATTTTCTCCTAATCCATGTGCTGTAATTGTGTGTATGTGTGTGCATGTATGTAATAAATAGCTTTATGGCTGTTCCTTTTGTCAGGGCTACATGTTAATTACAAAAGTAGAAAATTTAGAAAATTTACAAAGAAAACCAGTAAGAAGTAACTGTTGTTAAAGTGTAGAGTGCTATGCACCATCCCCTGTTTTAAGTACTCTACAAGGAATAATACCTTTTCTTTTGGTTTTGAGATGGGGTCTCGCTCTATTGCCCAGGCTGGAGTACAGTGGTGCCATCTGGCTCACCGCAACCTTCGCCTCCTGGGTTTAAGTGATTCTCCTGCCTCAGCCTCCTGAGTAGCTGGGACTACAGGTGCACGCCACCGTGCCTGGCTAATTTTTGTATTTTTAGTAGAGATGGGGTTTCCCCATGTTGGCCAGGCTGGTCTCGAACTCCTAACCTCAAGTGATCCATCCGCCCCAGCCTTCCAAAGGGCTGGGCTTACAGGCGTGGGCCACCACACCCAGCCCGTGGAATAATATCTAGTTAATTTTCACCAAATCCCTACAAGGCAGCAGCAATTTGAGCTGCATTTCACAGGTGAGGAGAACGAGGCAGGAAGAGGTGAAGCACCGTGCCTGGTGTCAGGTCGGGATCCAGTCTCAGTGGCCGTGGCTGAGTTTTGCGTTTGTTGTCCTGGTTTCTCTCTGCCCAGGCTGTATTCATCTGTGGTTTTTGGTGTGAGTTTTGCATCTGTTGTCCTGGTTTCTCTCTGCCCAGGCTGTATTCATTTGTGGTTTTTGGTGTGAGTTTTGTGTGTGTTGTCCCGGTTTCTCTCTGCCCAGGCTGTATTCATCTGCGGTTTTTGGTGACTTCGAGCAGTTTCCTCCTCCTGAAATCACCCGGAGGCCTGTTGAAGACTTAATCCTTCAAATGAAGGCTCTCAACATTGAAAAGGTCAGTTGCTGCCCCCAGTCCCGCTCTGAGCCACCCCAGTGGGCCACCTCCCTTTCCCTGAGGCAGGGAGCCCAGAGCTGGGCCTGCTGGTGTCTGGCCTGTGGCAGCCGCTTACACGACAGTGCATCAGCAGGTGCTCCCAGGGCTTTTGGGCTCCTGTCACCATTGCCTCCCTAATGCTGTGTCCCCCGTGGGCACCCAGGGGATGGCTGCCTGCAGTAGAGGCAGCAGGGTCCTGCGCGCTGTTCGTGGACCATCTGTCCGTGGGGCGTGCAGAACGTGCTGCTGGCTCTTCCTGGCTGCAGCCTTCTCCGACGCAGTCCTCCAGTGGAGGGGGTCCCTCTAGGCTCACCTCCCCTCTCCCTGCTCCAGGGCAGGCTCTTCCTGGCTGCAGCCTTCTCCGACGCAGTCCTCCAGTGGAGGGGGTCCCTCTAGGGTCACCTCCCCCTCCCTGCTCCAGGGCAGGCTGAGCCAGGCAGTGCCCCGTGCCACGCTGCGTGCCGTCCTGTGGGCATTCAGATCACCATTTAACTGATGAGGAAACAGAGGCAGGGAAGTGAAGGTTTTTGTCCAGGGTCACACATGTAATAAGCAATAGAACCCTTTTAAACATCTGTGCTCACTGATTTGTCTGGATGTTAATATGTTCAAAATTATAAAAACTTTAGATACTTGAGATCACCAGGGAGAAGGTGAAGCCTGTCCCACTGTCCACTATTTGTGACCTGTGTCCCAGTTATGTTTCCAAACACATAACATCCTGTACTTTATTATTGTGGTTGTCTGAATATTATGTGATATTTTACAGGCTGCTTTGGGCTTTTTTCACCTAATAAAAATCATGGGTGCTGGCCGGGCATGGTAGCTCACACCTGTAATCCCAGCACTTTGGGAGGCCGAGGCAGGTGAATTACTTGAGGTCAGGAATTCGAGACCAGCCTGGCCAACATGGTGAAACCCCATCTCTACTAAAAACAAAATAAAAAAAATATTAGCCAGGGAGGCTGGGCACGGTGGCTTACGCCTGTAATCCCAGCACTTTGGAAGGCCGAGGCAGGTGGATCACGAAGTCAGAAGTTCAGGACCAGCCTGGCCAACATAGTGAAACCCTGTCTGTAGTAAAGATATAAAAAATTAGCTGGGTGTGGTGGCACACACCTGTAATCCCAGCTACTCAGGAGGCTGAGGCAGGATAATCACTTGAACCCAGGAGGCAGAGGTTGCAGTGCACTTAGATTGCACCATTGCACTCCAGCCTGGGCGACAGGGCAAGACTCCGTCTCAAAAAAAAAAAAAGAAGCCAGGCATGGTGACAGGCGCCTATAATCCCAGCTACTTGGGAGGCTGAGGCAGGAGAATCACTTGAGCCTGGGAGGCAGAGGTTGCAATGAGCCAAGATCATGCCATTGCACTCCAGACTGGGAGACAGAGCAAGACTCTGTCTCAAAAAAAAAAAAGGGCTGGGTGCGGTAGCTCACAGCACTTTGGGAGGCCGAGGCGGGCAGATCACAACATCAGGAATTCGAGACCAGCCTGGCCAATATGGTGAAACCCCGTCTCTACTAAAAATACAAAAATTAGACACTACAGGTGGTGGGCACCTGTAGTCCCAGCTACTTGGGAGGCTGAGGCAGGAGAATTGCTTGAACCCGAGAGGCAGCAGTTGCAGTGAGCCGAGGCCGTGCCATTGCACTCCAGCCTGGACGACATAGCAAGACTCCATCTCAAAAAAACAAGAATAAAAGAAAAAGAAAAACATCATAGATGCCAAGTACGTGCTGGGCGCTCTGTATGTGTGACCTCAGGTTATCCTCCCAGCCACTCTAGGAGGGAGTTGCTAGTGTTATCGCCCCATTTTCCAGATGAGGAGCCTGAGGCACAGAGACAGGCCTGATTGTGGGTCACATGGATAAAATGTGTCAGGGCTGGGCCGGGAGCTCAGTGTGGCTGGGAGCACTGTCTGGAGTGCCTCCCACAATGACATCAAGTCCCCTCTGTAGAAACTCTGCAGTGGCTTCCCCTGGCTCTTGAGTCAGCTCCAGAGCAGGTCCCCACCTGCCTTCCCCCAGTCCTGGGTTCCTAGTGTTCCCGCCCTACCTGTGTGCCTGCTGTAGGCTCACCGCCCCGCCTCTAGCTTTATTGAGATAGAGTTGGCGCACCACACAGTCACCCGTTGAAAGTGTGCGGGTCAGTAGTTTCCAGTATGTTCACAAAGTTGTGCAAACACCACCATGGCCATTTTCATCACCCCAGACAGAAAGAAAGCATGTCGCCTTCATCTGTCACCACCTCCCAGCTCCCTGGCCCCTGCGCCCACTCCTCTCTATGGATTTGCCAGTTTGGGACATTTCATGCAGATGGAATCCTGCAACATGTGGCCTTTGGGCCCGGCGTCTTTCCCTGAGTGTGATGTTCTCAAGGTCCATCCGTGGTGTAGCGCGTGTCGTTGCTTCATTCCTTTTCGTGGCTGAATCATAGTCCATTTTGTGGATGGACTGCGTTTTGTTCCTCCACTCCTCCATTGAGAGACGCGTGGGTCGCTTCCGTCTTTTGGCTATTGTGATAAATTTATTCACATTATTATTATTATTATTTTTGAGAGGGAGTCTCACTCTGTCACCCAGGCTGGAATGCAGTGGCATGATCTCAGCTCACTGAAACCCCCGCCTCTCAGGTTCAAGTGATTCTCCCATCTCAGCCTCCCAAGTAGCTGGGACTACAGGTGAGCGCCACCACGCCCGGCTAATTTTTGTCTTTTTAGTAGAGATGGGGGTTTCACCATATTGGTCAGGCTGGTCTCGAACTCCTGACCTCAGGTGATCTGCCCGCCTCAGCCTCCCAAAGTGCTGGGATTACAGGCGTGAGCCACCGCACCGGGCCAATTTATTCATATTATGCCTCACTGACTACCTGTGGCCCCTCCTGGTCAAATGACGCTAAGTCCTCATGAGTGTAACAGTATGTTTAAAAACAAAAACCGAAAAAAGCACCCAGTGGGGGCAAAGCACAGCCCTCAGTGCCTAGCCAGTGCTTGGGATGTGTTTTTGAGTGAATGGATGATGTGAGTGAGTGAAGGAGGCTTTGGGGTTCCATTGGGACCTGGCCTTTGAGGGTGCCCCAGCCCCCTGTGTCCCCACTGGCATGAGCTGAACCCGGAGAAAGCGGGTGGAGGGAGTGCCTGCCACAGATGGAGCAGGAGCACCGGACTTGCTTCTTGGCATTCACCGTGTCCCTGCCATGTCTCCTCGTGTCTCGTGTCCCAGGTCATCAACTTCCCCTTCCCGACGCCCCCCTCCGTGGAGGCCCTTCTTGCCGCCGAGGAGCTGTTGATCGCACTGGGTGCCCTGCAACCGCCCCAGAAAGCAGAAAGGTAGGGCCAAGAGATGCAGGACTCAGTTCCTGTCCTGTTCGGGGCCCTCTCTCCCCTTTGCTGGGCCTGAGCCGCCTCAAGCGTGAGGCCTCCCAGCTCTGGCTCCAGAGCTCCTCTCAGAGCACTGCCACCACCACCTCCATCTCCAGGGTGAAGCAACTGCAGAAGAACCGGCTGAGCTGCCCCATCACTGCGCTGGGCCGGACCATGGCCACGTTCCCCGTGGCACCCCGCTACGCCAAGATGCTGGCTCTGAGCCGGCAACACGGCTGCCTGCCCTATGCCATCACCATTGTGGCCAGCATGACGGTGCGGGAGCTGTTTGAGGAGCTGGACAGGTGCGAGGTTAGCAGCTGGGTACTCAGGGCCAAGCTCAGTCCTGACAGGGGCTCCAATCTGAGAGCCGACCTGCACCCCGGCTTCCTAGGGAATCACCGGCTTGTTGGGTGGCCTCCTGCAAGACCCTCATTCTCTCTGAGCCCTTCTGTATTCTGATCTCTGCAGTGGCCGTGTTGGTCCCTGCCTGCTGCCCCTTATACATCGCATGAAACAGACTAGGAGGTGGGGGGGTCCCCCTGATCATCAGAGGGCCATAGATTCCGGAAAAAGGACACTTTGAGTGAAACCACTTAAAACACAGACCAAAATAGGGAAAGGCAATACCCTTGAAAAGTGCCACTAAGGCCGGGCGCGGTGGCTGACGCCTGTAATCCCAGCACTTTGGGAGGCTGAGACTTGAGGTCAGGAGTTTGAGACTAGCCTGGACATGGTAAAACCCCGTCTGTATAAAAAAATACAAAAATTAGCCAGGCGTGGTGGCGCATGCCTATAATCCCAGCTACTTGGGAGGCTGAGGCATGAGAATCATTTGAACCCAGGAGGTAGAGGGTTGTGGTGAGCTGAGATCGCACCACTGTATTCCAGCCTGGGCAACAGTGAGACCCTTCTCTAAAAAAAGAAAAAGAAAAGTGACACTAAGACTGTGAAAGTATGTTGAAAGTGTGTTTAGTGCATTGTGTATTTAACAAAATTTACTTACAGATCATGACTACATGCTGATTCTTAGAATGAACAATTATTTAATGATTTCCTGGCATCCTGTGGCATAGATCTGCCTTTGGCAGCTTGATGATAAAAGGGGTCATTTCTGCAGAAATTTCTGGAAGCAACTTGAGTTTCTCAAGGACTTCGTAAGTCTTCAGTGTTCACATCATTCCTCCTGAAACAGCCTTTCACGCCATCAGTTGTGACCATCTCTGCCTCAGCTGTGAGCCAGGCTTCTGCTGCCACCAGGTCTCGTCAACTGTGAATGGAGCAGGCAGGCCCACAATGTCACTTCATTGACTCTGTGAGCCTCTGCATCTTGTGCAAAGCCCGCTGCTTGCTTCCCTTAGGGTCAGTCTGCCTGTGTTTGGACCATCTTGTCAGATGACAGAGCAGACACTAGTTGGGAAGGCAGTTAGGTGGACACTGGGGAATCTTTTGATATTTGGATGGTTTTTCTTTGTTTATCCTCCTCCACCTCCCCTCCCCAGTCTCACCCACCCTAACCAGGAACTTAACTTTAGGCCACGTCACTGCGTGGGCCATTCCATACTGCAGCCACTAACCACACGTGGTCTGAGCCTGTGAAATGTGGCAATTACGGCAACAAACTGACTTAAAACCTTACTTATTTTTAGTAGTTTAAATTTAGACAGCCACATGTGGCTAGTGGCCACCATATTGGCCAGTGCAGTTCCAGACCTTTCCCTGTGCTCTGCACGGACAGAGATTTACTTTGAGGAAATGAGATCAGATGATCCTGCAACTTGCCTTTTCTGCATCCTCTATCTTTTCAGGGTCAGTGCATCTGAACTTCAAAAGCAGCTTTAGCCAGGCATGGTGGCTCACGCCTGTAATCCCAGCACTTGGGATGCCGAGGCAGGCAGATTACTCAAGAGGTCAGGAGTTTGAGACCAGCCTGGCCAACACGGTGAAACCCCGTCTCTACTAAAAATAAAAAACCAGGCGTGGTGGTGGACACCTCTAATCCCAGCTATTCATCAGAATCCCTTGGGGAGAATAATAGGGTTCTCTGGAGAAACAAAAAGTGGTGTCCGTTTCAGTCGGGGTCTGAAGGCGCAGGAACCAGGAGCGTCAAGGGCAGGGAAGACCCAGCTCACACAGTCAGCAGAGCCCGAAGTCACACCTCCTCTGCCTACTTGGGCCCTCAGTGGATCGGATGCGGCCCCCACCCACACTGGGGAGGGCAGTAGCTTTACGCCGGTCACCAATTCAAAGACACACCCAGAAATAGAGCTTAACCAGCTATCTGGACATCCCTTTGCTCAGTTAAGTGGACACAAAATTAACTGTCACATGTAAGGTCTTGAAAACCGAGGTGTCTTGGCCTCTGCCCAGATCCCCTGATCAGCATCTCCTGGTCCCAGCATCTCTAAGACTGCCTGCACAATGCTGGTGTCAAGGCTCTATAGCATGGTGACTGAGAGCTCAGGTCTGGTTCAAATCTCCCTCTGCCATTCTGAGCTGTGTGGCCTTAGGCAAGTGACTGTACCACTCTGAGCTTCATTTTCTCCATCTGGAAAATGGGGATAATGATGATGATGATAATTGGATTGTTGGTAGAATTAAATGAGTTAACACAAGCAAAGCTCTTTGAGCCGTGCCTGACACATATGTAAGTGTTAGTATTATTTTCAGGTTTGGAAGCTACTGGCATCATTCATTTATCCAGTCCACCTTGGTGGCTATTTAAGCAGTTTGCAGAGTTTTTTTTTACTTAAAAATGGTGCAGTGGCCGGGAACGATGGCTCACGCCTGTAATCCCAGCACTCTGGGAGGCCGAGATGGGTGGATCATGAGGTCAGGAGATCGAGACCATCCTGGCTAACACGGTGAAACCCCGTCTCTACTAAAAAAAGTACAAAAAATTAGCCAGGCGTGGTGGTGGGCGCCTGTAGTCCCAGCTACTCGGGAGGCTGAGGCAGGAGAATGGTGTGAACCTGGAAGGCAGAACTTGCAGTGAGCTGAGATCGGGCCACTGCACTCCGGCCTGGGCGACAGAGCGAGACTCTATCTCAAAAAAAAGAAAAAAAGCAACGGTGCAGCGGTGGCTGCCAATGGTGAATTTTGAGCTGGACCTTGATACCTGAATTACATTCATCGGTGACTCCACAAGGCCTCTGAGCCTGTCCTGATGAATAAAAGAGTTCCCCCCGCTGAGGCCCTGAGTGCAGCAGGGAACCCAGCCCGGACAGTATGTGTGTGTTTGCAGACCGGCAGCCAGTGACGAGGAGCTCGCCAGGCTGAAGAGCAAGCGGGCCTGGGTGGCCCAGATGAAGAGGACCTGGGCAGGGCAGGGGGCTTCTCTGAAGCTCGGCGACCTCATGGTGCTGCTGGGTTAGTGCCCTGCCTGGTGGAGGGTGGTGGGGGGGTCACCCAGGCATGGGATGGATCAGAGAGAGAGCATGCCCCCTCTTCGTCCTCTAGGTGCCGTGGGAGCCTGTGAGTATGCCGGCTGCACACCCCAGTTTTGCGAAGCCAACGGGCTGCGGTACAAAGCCATGATGGAGATCCGGCGCCTGCGGGGCCAGCTGACCAGCGCAGGTACGGCCCCGCGCCAGCATATGCTGCTGCACCCGGTGGGCACCCCGACCTGGGCACTTGAAATGTTTAAAAAAGTGATCCATAGAGTCCATGTTTGCACACTTGCTACACACCAAAATGTTTTTATAACCCTAAATCAATACTTGGGGGAGCTTTTCCAGGCACGAGGGAATGTGCACACGAGCAGGGCACTAACAGATTCGAGCTGCCAGCCTGTGCCTTCCCCCACCAGGTCGTCTCTCAGTTTCACCTTTTCCCTGGTGAGGCCCTGCCGTTTTCCATCACTGCTCTGGCCTGGACTCCCTTCCCTCCCACATGTCCCCCAGACCCTTCTCATGCAGAAGGATGAGGCCTTGCCCTGGACTCTACCTCAGCCCAGCAGCACATAATCCTTCCTGCCACCAACACCCAGGGAAGCTTGAGAGGAAGGAAATGTCCTCCAACATATGGCAAGAGGACCATGCGTACAGAGGGCAGCCTGGACACTGGGTCTCTTCTGGGCAGGCCACGTTCTTTTACCCAAGGCTAGTGGGGAATTTGCCTTCCATTCAAGGAGATCCCAGGGTTTGATGCCAGGATTGATGGCTCTCTTCCAGCCGATCCTTCTCCCAGCGCCAGGTGCATGGTGGTGGCCCTGTCACTGTGCTCTGTGTCCCTCTGGCTGTGGCTTTCCAGAACAGCCCCACTCCAGGTGCAGCAGCTCAGAATTGCAGTCAGCCTCTAGATAGCACTGGTTACAGTGGCTTGGTGACATTAGACCTTTATTGTTGCAAGGAAGAGAAGCCACTGAGTCAGCAGCCCAGGGCATTTCTCTGCTGCCATCCTCCTGCCATTCTCTGTGCCTTCCATCCTAAGGTCACCTCATGGGCTGAGGAGGTAGTTGGAGGCTTGGTCGCCCCTGCCTTCCGGGCAGGAGAAGGGAAGGACAAGGCCAGGGCACCCGCCGGCTGTCCTTTTCCTGTATTGAACGTTCCCAGGAATTCCAGCCACAACTTCCTTCTTCACATCATGGACCAGAACTGAGTCTGAGGCCACCTGGGTGTTGGGGGAGGGCCGTCTCCTAGCAGAATGCTCTGCTGACCAGGCAGGATATGAGGCTTTGTCCCAAGGGAGAAGGAGGGGCTGGGGGGCGGCTGCAGTCCTGCCTGCTGGGGGCTTTGGGTCCTGCCGGTGGCCTCTGGGGAGTGGCTGAGGCTAAAGCACTGAACATGGTTGGGACTTTCTAGGAGGTCAGGGCAGAGCTGGCCCCAGGCCTCGCCACCACCATCCTCACTCTTGGATCTCCCCTCAGTCAATGCCGTGTGCCCGGAGGCTGAGCTCTTCGTGGATCCCAAGATGCAGCCGCCCACCGAGAGCCAGGTAACCTACCTGCGACAGATCGTGACGGCCGGCCTGGGGGACCACCTGGCCCGCCGGGTCCAGAGCGAGGAGCTGCTGGAGGACAAGTGGAGGAATGCCTACAAGGTGGGGCCCCCACCGTCTCCCTGCCAGGGTAGCTTGGGGCACGGTCGGGGCACCTGGCGAGGGGCAGGCAGGCTGGGTCCTCGGGGTTTTGGGGAGGCCTGTCCCCCTCAGTTGTGGGTCCCCACCGAGGAACAAGTGGGGCTTGCAGCAGAATCACATCTTCCTTGGTTAGTTTCTCACTCCCAACTTTTTTTTTTAATAACAGTTTAATGGAGATAGAATTCACACAGCATTTAAACTCTTTTTGGGTTTTCTGTTTTTCTTAGAAACGGGGTCTCGCTCTGCTGCCCAGGATAGAGTGCAGTGGCACAATCATAGCTCACTGGAGCCTCAAATTCCCAGGCACAAACAACGTTCTTGCCTCAGCCTCCTGAGTAGTTGGGACTAATTTTGTTGTTGTTGTTTTGTTTTTTGAGACAGCCTCACTCTGTTGCCCAGATTAGAATGTAGTGGCGCGAACTCAGCTCACTGCAACCTGTATCTCCTGGGTTCCAGCCATTTTCCTGCCTCAGCCTCCCAAGTAGCTGGGATTACAGGCACGTGCCACCACAGCCAGCTAATTTTTGTGTTTTTACTAGAGAAGGGGTTTCATCATTTTGGCCAGGCTGGTCTCAAACTCCTGGCCTCAAATGATCTGCCTGCCTCAGCCTCCCAAAATGCTGGGCTTATAGGCAGTGTTACCCAGGCTGGTCTTGAACTCCTGGCCTCTAGCAATCCTTCCACCTTGGGCTGCCAAACTGTTGGGATTACAGATGTGACCCACTGCATCTGGCCTGCATTTAAACCCATTTAAAGTGTTCAATTCAGTGGTTTTTAGTATTTTCACAGAGTTTTACAACCATTAGCATAGTTAACTTTAGAACATTTTTATTACCCAACAAAGAAACCCCACACCTAGGCCGGGGGCGGTGGCTCAAGCCTGTAATCCCAGCACTTGGGAGCCAGCGGCGATCACAAGTCAGAATCGAGACACCTGCTAAATACGTGAAACCCCGTCTCTACAAAAAATACAAAAACTAGCCGGTGAGTGCGGCGCCGTAGTCCCAGCTACCGGAGCTGAGGCAGGAGAATGGCATAGACCCGGGAGGCGGAGCTTGCAGTGAGCTGAGATGCGGCCACTGCACTCCAGCCTGGCGACAGAGCGAGACTCCGTCTCAAAAAAAAAAAAGAAACCCCACACCTGTAAGCTATGAGTCCCCAGTTCCCCTTCACCACCGTTTTCATGATCCTGCTTTCCATCGGTGGATCTGCCTGTACTGGACATGTGGCATGAGTGGAATCTTAACATACATGGCTTTCCGTGTCTGGCCTCTTTCACTTAGTGTGATGCTTTCAAGCCCCATCCATGCCATGGCGGGCGTGGGTGCTTCCTTTTTTTTTTTTTATTTTCTGAGATGGAGTTTTGCTCTTGTTGCCCAAGCTGGGAGTGCAATGGCATGATCTTGGCTCACTGCAACCTCCACCTCCCAGGTTCAAGCAATTCTCCTACCTCAGCCTCCCGAGTAGCTGGGATTACAGGTGTGCGCCACCACACCCAGCTAATTTTTTGTATTTTTAGTAGAAATAGGGTTTCATCAACACGGTGAAACCAGCCAGGCTGGTCTCGAACTCTTGACCTCAGATGATCCACCTGCTTTGGCCTCCCAGAGTGTTAGATTATAGGCATGAGCCACCGCACCTGGCACTTCCTTCCTTTTCATGGCTAGATCAGACTCCGGTGTGCAGATGGGCCGCGTTTCCTGGCAGATGGAACACGCTCCCACTTTTGTGGCTGGAGTGGATATTCAGAGTCTCCTGGGTTGAGAGTATGCAGAGACCCTGGGCTTGGGTTCCTTACTGACCACATCACCTCCATTCTCTGCAGACCCCTCTCCTCGACGACCCTGTCTTCATCCACCCCAGCTCCGTCCTTTTCAAAGAGCTCCCCGAGTTTGTGGTCTACCAGGAAATCATGGAGACCACCAAGATGTACATGAAAGGTGCTGAGGCCTGGGGACAGCCCCTTGTCCCCCGATGGTGGCTGTGATGGGGGTGTGGCTGGGACCCTGGGGCAGAGGCATGGGAGCCCCTCCCACAGAGGGTGCCGCTGTAACCCCAGCTTCCTCCCCCGGCCCCCAGGCGTCTCTAGCGTGGAGGTCCAGTGGATCCCGGCCCTGCTTCCCTCTTACTGCCAGTTTGACAAGCCCCTGGAGGAGCCAGCCCCTACCTACTGCCCCGAGCGGGGGCGGGTGCTGTGTCACCGAGCCAGCGTGTTCTGTGAGTTGGGGCAGTGTCCCAGGCAACCTGAGCCTCCCACAGCCGTGGGCTTCTCGGACGCATGGCCCTGTCCCCTGCCCCTGGCTGTGTGTGTCTTGGGTGGGGGAGGGATGGGACTCAGGCGGTCAGCTACAAGAGGGTCCTGGCTCACTGACTCCTGCCCTCCAGATCGCGTGGGCTGGCCGCTTCCCGCCATCGAGGTGGATTTTCCAGAGGGCATTGACCGCTACAAGCACTTTGCCCGGTTCCTGCTGGAAGGACAGGTAGGTGGCACAGCGGCTCCAGGCCCTCATCTCAGGTACCGTGGGCAGCAGCAGCCTCACCCCTTCCTGTGGTCTCTCATCAGGTCTTCCGCAAGCTGGCCTCATACCAGAGCTGTCTGCTGTCCAGCCCCAGCACCATGCTGAAGACGTGGGCCAGGTACTGCTTGCAGTGGGCAGGAGGGGTGGAGGCCTGAATGACCTCCCCAGGGCTGCTGGGACAGAGCACCACACACGGGGAGGCTTAAAAGATCCGAAGCGTGTGCTCAGGTCTCAAGGCTACAGGGCCACGCTCTGTGCATCGGCTTTCGGGGAGGGTCCCTCTTGCCTCTGCTGGCCTCCTGGGCTTGTGGCCACATCACGGCAGTCTCTGCCTCCATCTTCATGTGGCCGTCTCTCTGTGTGTCTCTAGTCTCCCTCCCTGTGCTCTCTCCTTATAAGGACACCAGTCATTGGATTCAGGGTCCACCCTACTCCAGGGTGACCTCTCCTTAACTCATGACATTTGCAATGACCCTCTTTCCATATAAGGTCACACGCTGATGTTCTTGGTGGGCATGAATCTGGGGTAGGGGAGACACTGGGCTGCTTCCTGAGAGTTGCCCGGTGTCAGTGAGAGGCATCCTGGCCCTAGGGACTTCCAGCTGAGCAGACCCCTGCCCCATCCCGCCCACCACCTCTGCTTCAGGGCTCACCCTTGCCCTCCACCTCCTCCTGCTCTCCTCCTGCCTGTGGTCCAGACCCACAGACACCTCCCCCTTCCTGGGACTGGCGGAGCCTGTGGTGCAGGGGCTTGGAGCACTGGAGGCAGACCTGAAGGTGCAGGCAGGTGCCAGGGACTCAAGATGGGGTGTGTTGCACAGCACCTGCTGCTGGGCTGTCAGGAGCAGCGTCAGTCACCCAGCTCACGTTTTCCAGTGCGGCCCTGTCCCAGGCATGTTCTCGGGGCTGGGATACAGACACGGTCTCTGTCCTACAGTGGCGTCGCTCGGCCCCAGAGGGACAGAGCAGGACATGAGTGAGGCCTCAATGGGCTTGGGGTGGAGTGCGACTGGGCTGGTCGAGGAGAGCCTCACTGGGCAGATTCAGAGGAGGCAGGGCCGGAGCAGGGCACAAATCTGGAGGAAGGTTCCAGATGAGACAAGTTGCATGCACGGAGCAGCCTTGGTGGGCAAGGAATGTGGGCCAGAGGCAGCCAGGGTGGATGGGAGGAGGTGGGATCTAGAGCCTTCTGTCCCAGGATGATTAGGGGAAGGGGACCCTTTGCTTTCTCTTTTATTTTATTATTATTATTTATTTTTTAGAAGGCCTGTCTAGAGAATTTTGGTTTTTTTGCTTTTGAGTTTTGTTTGCTTGTTTGTTTGAGACAGAGTTTTGTTCTTGTTGCCCAGGCTAGAGTACAATGGCGCAATCTCGGCTCACTGCAGCCTCTGCCTCCCGGGTTCAAGTGATTCTCCTGCCTCAGCCTCCTGAGTAGCTGGGATTACAGGCACCCGCCACCATGCCCGGCAAATATTTTTGGATTTTTAGTAGAGATAGGGTTTCACCATGTTAGCCAAGCTGGTCTCGAACTCCTGGCCTCAGTTGATCCACCTGCCTCAGCCTCCCAAAGTGCTGGGATTACAGGCGTGAGCCACCACGCCCAGCCAATTTGTTTGTTTTTGAGACAAGGTCTTGCCCTGTCACCCAGGCTGGAGTGCAGTGGTATAATCATGGCTCACTGCAGCCTCCAACTCCCGGGCTCAAGGGATCCTCCTACTTCAGCTTCCCGAGTAACTGGGGCTACAGGTGCATGTCACCATGCCCAGCCAGCTCTTTACCCTGCGGGGTGGGGCCGGTAGGGTGGTGATGCCTGCCCTGTTTTCAGGCCCCCAGCAGCAGCTGGTCTGTGCCCTGGCTGCCTGCCACCAACCTGCATCCCTGCCCCACAGGCTGCAGCCCCGGACGGAGAGCCTCCTGCGAGCCCTGGTTGCAGAGAAGGCTGACTGCCGTGAAGCCTTGCTGGCTGCTTGGAAGAAAAACCCCAAATGTGAGTTTGCCCAGGGCCAGGGGATGGGAGTGGACAGGATGGGGTCACCGAAGCAGGGGCTTTGTGCTTTGTGCACAGTCAGCCCTGGCTTGGCAGAAGGATCTGGCCCCATGGCTGCTGGCCAGCTTCCTGCCACCTCAGGAGAGTCCCTGGGCCCAGGGTCACCCTGACACTATCCTCCTTCCCTCCCCTGCAGACCTGCTGGCCGAGTACTGTGAGTGGCTTCCACAGGCCATGCACCCCGATATCGAGAAAGCCTGGCCCCCCACAACTGACCACTGACCGGACACCTGGCTGGAGGGCCGAAGACTGGAGGGCTGGCAGCAGCCTGTCACCCTGCGACCATGACTGCCTGGCGTGGGCTTCATGGCCTGCTCTCGGGAAGCAGGTCAAGCCCTGGGAACCTCGTCCATGAGAACTCGATACCGTATGAAGCGTGCTGCTGCCCGTGCCGTCTGGCCTGGGGGTGACTTTTTGAACTGATTATTACATGGTGGATGATGATTTCATCTCACGTGCTGGACGCTGTTCTGTTCAGTGTGCTCTTTGGACTACATTAGTCCGCCGTGGAGCAGCAGGGCCGGAGGTCTCTGCAGTCCCTTCCCCGCTGCCCTACCAGAAGGCCAAGGAGGCACGTGGAGGGCTCATCCTTTCTGCAATTCTTCCCTCTAGAGTCAGGGAGGTCCGCCCAGCCCTGGCCTCACAGCCGTCCCAGATGTTAGGTGAACCACCGAGCTGTGCGTTGACCTTGAGGGGCCCGGCTCGGGGCCCCCAGGCTCCACGCCTTCTTGGGAGGGTGGACGCCGGCACCTTTCCTGTGTTACGGCTGCGGGGAGCGAGCATCTCGTCTGCCTGTGGTCAGCTCTCAGACGGCAGGGAGCGGAGCTGACCTTGGCCGTGCTTGGTCACCGCTGCCGCAGAGGATGGGCCTAGCTAGGCTGGGGCCACAGGACTATTCTGCCGGCCTTGAATGGGGACTGCAGAACCCTCAGTTTGTCTCCCTTGTTCTTCTGTGGCCGAGGTGGGAGGGGTAGGTCCCCCAGCAAGAGAGACAGGAGCACCCCAGACAGGACCAAGGAGTCGGGAGGCCCCTGCCCTTCCGTCCTCCATGGTGAGGGCCCGGACGTCTCCCCAGAGCCCAGCGCTCGCAGGATGGATTCCGCTCCTGGCTTTGCTTCTGCGGCTTTGGTGGAGACAGTTATGGAATAAAATGTTCCTTGCACCCAGATTATTTTGTGGAATACGCTTGGGGAAGGACACCCAGGTGGCGAGTGTGCTGTCGTGGGACGCGGCCTGGTGGCCGACCTGCCTTCCCAGTACTGCCATCTGCTCTAGGGAGGCCTCTCCTCGCTGGGTTTACTTACCTCCCTGGCTGCTCTCGAAGCCCGAGCAGCTCCCTCTCCCCACCTGCCCCATAGCCAAGATGGCAGCCCGGCCCTTCTCGCTCCAGGTTCCTCCCCAGGAGCCCAAGGCAGGGCCGTGAGCCAGGGCCCTGCAGACACGTTTGCTTAACCCGCCCAGTGATTGAGGAAGACCTGAATTCCTCACTAACATGTAGAATTGAGCTGTTTCCCACTCAAAAGTACTGACCTCCAGCTTTCCTGAAATCCCACTGCACATGGGCTGGCAATTCTGAGATGAAAGCGGAAGCCATCATTCCCGCCGCTGTCTCAGGTGCCGGGGCAGCCTCCTTAGGGACGTCCCTGCCTCCTCATCGCACTCCACAGCCAAGTGTCCACAGTTGTAATTAGGTGATGCTTTTTAAAAAATGTTATGTAATTAACATACCATAAAATTCACCATTTGAAGGTATACAGTTGCTTTTAGTATATCACAGTTGTGCAACCATTACCATGACCTGATTCCAGAGCATTTTTCTAGCCCTAAAAAGATACCCCGTACCCATCAGCAGTCTGCCCCATTTCTCCCAGTTCCCCCAGCTCCAGGCACCACGAATTCACATTCTGTCTCTGGATTTGCGCTTTCTGGACATTTATCTCTTGTTGCCTTTTTTGTTGTTGTTTTTTTGTTTGTTTGTTTTTTTAGAAATGTACCATTTTATTACAAAGAGGCTCACAAAAATGAAAATCGTATCTCCAAAAGGAAACTAGACTAGCACCTCCACCTGCAGAATTAGGAGAAGACTGGGCCGGCAGCGTTTCTTGGCTCACTTGAGGCCAGTGGGAAGGTATGAAAACAGGCTGATGTTACCTTAGGAGCCTGGAAAGAACAGGAAATCCTTGAAGACCCAGCTACCCCTTCTAGAATGTTCAATAAGGGCACCTTTCCAAAGCTATTAAGCGGGCACTTAGCATTTCAGGATTTTGTCTTATGGTTGCATAAAAGTATCCCTTTCACCCAGACCTGGCACCCTTTATGGTTCAAAGTTAAGAACTGGGGAAGAAGGCCGGACGCGGTGGCTCAAGCCTGTAATCCCAGCACTTTGGGAGGCCGAGACGGGCAGATCACGAGGTCAGGAGATCGAGACCATCCTGGCTAACCCAGTGAAACCCTGTCTCTACTAAAAAAATACAAAAAGCTAGCCGGGCGAGGTGGCGGGCACCTGTAGTCCCAGCTACTCGGGAGGCTGAGGCAGGAGAATGGCGTAAACTCGGGAGGCGGAGCTTGCGGTGAGCTGAGATCCGGCCACGGCACTCCAGCCTGGGCCACAGAGCGAGACTCCGTCTCAAAAAAAAAAAAGAAAGAAAGAAAATATAAACTCTGACGGGTTGGGGGAGAAAGGTGAGGGACTCTGCAGGAAGCCAGAGCTGGAGAGGTCTGTTCAGGCCAACTTGACCTCCTCCTTGACCCCTTTGGCTTCTGGCTTCTCCTCCTTGGTTTTCTCCTCTTCTGTGACTTCTTTCTTCTCCTCTGGGTCTTTCTCTTTTTCATCCTCTGTTTTGACTCTCTTGGCTTTTTTGAAGTTGGAAGAGTTCTTGCGGCCCCCCTCTCCCTCCTCTTCAGAATCGGAGAACTCTTCCTCACAGGCAGTTCGTTTGTCAGAGGAGCAGATCGAGATGCGCTGCTCAGGGTCTTCTTCGTCCTCATCGCCGCTCTCCTCAGGGATTTTGTCCTCAGGAATCGCCTGCATTTGGACCTCGGGTGCATGCGGCAGCACTCTAAGGTTCTCAAACAGTCGCTGTTTGATCTTCTCCGGGTACTCATTGGTGCTCTGGTTACTCATATTGGAAGGACTGATGTGGAGCTTGAAATCTGGTCCAAAGTATTCAAAGTAGTCGTTGTACGGAAGCTCATTAGGGATCTCCGTATCCAGGGCCACAGCTGTCTCGTATGTCCAGCACCGGGCAACATTATAAATGGTGTAACCACCACCTCCCAGCATTAGCATAGGCAGGTTAAAGCTCTTGACAAGTTCCACACACTTGGCGTGCCCTTTGATGGTTGGACTGAAGCAACCTAACCGATCCCCAGATAGGGAGTCTGAGCCACACTGTAAGGCCACCGCACTAGGCTGGAACATCTCCATTACTTTGGACATGACCGGCTTGAAAATGATCTCACAGGACTCGTCCTCAATCCCGTCTCGGAGCGGGTAGTTAACAGCATAATACTTGCCTTTGCCAGCCCCGATATCCCATAGGTCCCCAGTTCCTGGGAAGTACTCTCCATACTTATGAAAAGACACAGTCATGACCCGGTCTGTGGTATAGAAGGCCTCTTCCACACCGTCGCCATGGTGAATATCAATGTCAATACACAGCACCCTCTGGTGATACTTTAGCAGTTCCAGGATGGCCAAGACGACATCATTGACGTAACAGAAGCCAGATGCCTCAGACTTCTTTGCATGGTGCAGGCCCCCAGCCCAGCTCACAGCAATGTCTGTCTGCTGCTTATTAAGTTTCACAGCACTTGCCACAGAACCACCAGTAGACAACTGACAGAACTCAAACAGGCCATCGAATACCAGACAGTCCTCACCAATGTTGAATCTCTGCATCTGCTTGCTGTACTCCGACATGTTATCTGGACGGGTGGAGTGCAAGAATTTAATGTAGTCATTGCTGTAACTGCATGTCATCTCCTCAGCATTGGCTTTGTGAGGGCGATGGATTCCCATTTTTCGGTAGAGACCATAGTTGAGCAGCAAATTATGAGTCATGCGGATTCAGTGAGGCTTCACTGGGTGGCTTGTCCGTAGCAGTAATTTCCAACATCCCCGTCGTAATAGTAACAGACTTGGCCGGGCGCGGTGGCTCAAGCCTGTAATCCCAGCACTTTGGGAGGCCGAGATGGGCGGATCACGAGGTCAGGAGATCGAGACCAAACACGGTGAAACCCCGTCTCTACTAAAAAATACAAAAATCTAGCCGGGCGAGGTGGCGGGCGCCTGTAGTCCCAGCTACTCAGGAGGCTGAGGCAGGAGAATGGCGGGAACCCGGGAGGCGGAGCTTGCAGTGAGCTGAGATCCGGCCACAGCACTCCAGCCTGGGCGACAGCGCGAGACTCCGTCTCAAAAAAAAAAAAAAAAAAAAATAGTAACAGACTTTCCTCCAGGTGACCTGCATCTGTGCCATCTTGCTCGCCTGCCATCCCTACTGTCAGTCGGTCCATCCGCCCTCCTGCCCGCTGCTCCGCTCCTTGTTTGTTTTTTTGAGACAAAGTCTCGCTCTGTTACCAGGCTGGACTGCATTGGGACAACCTTGGCTCACTGCAACCTCCACCTCCCGGGTTCAAGCGATTCTCTTGCTTCAGCCTCCTGAGTAGCCGGGACTACAGGCACGTGCCACCACACCCAGCTAATTTTTATATTTTAAGTAGAGATGGGGTTTCACGATGTTGGCCAGGATGGTCTTGATCTCTTGTCCTTGTGATCCACCCGCCTCCGCCTCCCAAAGTGCTGGGATTACAGGGGTGAGCCACCGCGCCTGGTTTGTTGGTTGTTTTTTTGAAAGGATCTTACTCTGTCATTCAGGCTGGAGTGCAGTGGTGCAATCCTAGTTCACTGCAGCCTCCATCTCCTGGGTTCAAGTAATCCTTCTACCTCCCAAATAGCTGGGACTACAGGCACACTCCACCATACTGGGCTACAATTTTCAGTACAGCCAGCTCTTGCTATGTTGCCCAGGCTGGTCTTGAGCTCCTGAAGTATTTCATTCCTTCCTATGGCTGGATAATACCCCAGTGTATGGATAGACCACATTTTTATTTGTTTCCATCTTTTGGCTATTGTGAATAGAGCTGCTGTGAACATTTATATACAGGTTTTTGTGTGGATGCATATTTTCCATTCTCTTGGGTATATACCTAGGATTTAAAAAAAACAAAAAAACAAGAGCACCATTGCCTGGCCAATGTCATTTAGCTTTTATTTATTTATTTATTTTGAGACAAAACTGCATCTGCATGGCTGGTAGATACCTGAAAACATGCACACCCTAGAAAGTGGGCAGGAAAAAAGCAAAGAAATAATTCAGTTCTACTTCTTACCCAACAGATTTGGAAAAATTAAGAATCATGGCCATAGCCAGTGCTGAAAATATAAGGAAAAAAGCACCTTCACACATTGTTAGAGAATATGTAAGTTGCCACAGCCCTTAGAAAAAATCCAGCAATATTTATTTATTTATTTTTTTTTTTTCTGAGACGGAGTCTTGCTCTGTTGCCCAGGCTGGAGTGTAGTGGTGCGATATCTGCTCACTGCAACCTCTGCCTCCCAAGTTCAAGTGATTCTCCTGCCTCAGCCTCCCGAGTAGCTGGGACTACAAGTGTGTGCCACCACACCCAGCTAATTTTTTGTATTTTTAGTAGAGATGAAGTTTCACCATGTTGGCTAGGCTGGTCTCAAACTCCTGACCTCAGGTGATGTGTGCACCTGGCCCTTCCAAAGTGCTGGGATTACAGGCATGAGCCACCACGCCTGGCCCAAAATCTAGCAATATTTAAAATAAACTAGGCATGGTGGTTTACACCTGTAATCCCAGCACTTTAGAAGGCTGAGGTGAGAGAATCACTTAAGGCCAGGATTTCCAGACCAGCCTGTACAATATAGCGACACCCCTGTCTCTACAAAAAAAAAGAAAAAGAAAGAAAGAAAGAGAAGAAAAATGTTTGCTGGAGGTGGTGAAGTATACCTGTAGTCTCAGCTGCTGGGAGGCTGAGGTGGGAGGATCACTTGAGCCCAGGATTTGGAGGCTGCAGTGAACTATGATCGCACCACTGCATTCCAGCCTGGGCGACAGAGAAAGAAGTACATTTTGAAAAGTATCCATGCCCTTTGACCCTGCATTGCTCCCTGTGGAAATCTGTCCCATCGAGATACCGGCGCCAGAAGGCAAGGAAAGTGCATGTACCAGATGACTGACTACAACACTTCAGTGAGAGGAAACAAAATTACCCGAACCGCTAGGAGGAATGGTAATAAAGCATGCTACCCCTGCGTTAGGAAATACTATGCAACCACGTCCAGAATTTGTCATGAACTCCATCATGCTCTCACCTACTCTGCCGCACCTCTGGAGGAAGTACCCATCAGCTCTCCGGGCGGTGGCTGCACCTCCTTCCCTGTCTCCCCACATCCACCCACGCCCAGGGTGTATTCTCCGCATGGCAGCCAGAGGGAGCCTTTTCAAACCTAAATCTGGTCTGTTACCCTGCGTCAGGCCTCCCAGTGTCTTCGAAGGTAAAGTTCATCCTCATTCACTAAGCTCTGGGGCGGGGCTTTCCTCCTGCCCCTTCAACACAGAGCGCCCTTTCTCCAGCCTCAGGGCCTGGGCACCTGCTGTTTCCTCCGCTACACGCATTGTTTCTGCAGGGGACTCCCCTGGCAGCTAATCTAAAGCAGCCCCCACTCATGCACCCCTGAGTTTCCATCTCATCGCTATTCTTGTCTTCATAAAACGTATCGCTACTTGCTTATTGTTAAGTCTCCGGGACTAGACTATAAAGTCCAAGAAGGCTGAGAAAGCTTGCCTGGCCTGTCTTATCCAGGGATACCAGGGAACATACACTTTACCCGGCACACAGTAGGTGTCGACGCGTGCACAGAACCTGACATGAGGCCCCCAGGAGTTAATGAATGGTCAATTGCAGAACCTTTCTAAGGAATCCAGTGCTTTTCTATCTGTTTGATGAAACAAATAACTGGGAGTGTTCGTTTCAAATGGCATATTGCCGGCCCCATGGCCGACCTACTGAACGCGGATCTCTGGTGGAGGGGCCCAAGGAATTTGTGATTGCGGGCAGGGATGTACGCTGGCGCAGGCCCTTCCAAGGGAGCTTTCTTCGCAGGCAGGTTGATGGGGCTCCCTGGGTCCTCTTTCCAGTCTTCCTTTCTGTGTGACTGTAATTTGCAGGAAAAAGGTAGAAAGAAAACCCTGGAGATGCCGGGGATTGAACCCGGGGCCTCATACATGCAAAGCATGCGCTCTACCACTGAGCTACATCCCCTTATCTCGCAAGTTGCTTTTCTGGGAATGGTGATACAGAGAGTGCCCTTCGCTTTGCTAGTTCAGGTGTCTCAGCTTCCGAACGTACAGGGCCTCCAGCCACTCAAAGGGGCCTCTGCCCGCTCTGGGAAAGCTCGGAGGCCAGGGCGCCCGGCGCCGAGCCCGGATGACCCGCAAAGGGTAGGAACGACAGCGGGAGAAGGCTACAGTCTTAGAGACTGAGTTGCAGAAAATCGTGTATGGCTTGTCCTCGTTAGTATAGTGGTGAGTATCCCCGCCTGTCACGCGGGAGACCGGGGTTCGATTCCCCGACGGGGAGGCTAACAGAATCGACCTTTTGAAATACAGAAGGGGAAACCTTGCTGGCAATGCTATGCATTGTTCAAAAATATACTGAATAGGCGAGGATGTGCACGTCGCAGGTGTGCCCGCAACACCGTGAATTAGGGCCCTTTCGAGGATTCATTGCCCTCCAAGGAGAGGTGGGGGGAAGAAAAAAGAGGGTGCTCAGCAGTGGGCACGATAGGTTCATTTTTATGTCAAAAAATTATAGATATGCGCACAAATGTGTGAGTATTTTCATGTTTCTGATTGGCGTCATGGTAACAACAGCAGCAGCAGCCGCCAACAATATACAGTTCTTAACATGTGCGGGGCAGTATTGGTAAGCGCTTTAGTGTTCACGCATTACATCCTCAAGCATCCTACCAACGTGCCGTTTTCTCCACATCAGACTGATGAAATACAAGCACAGACAGAGGCTCCGTGGCCCGCCCAAAGTCTCATCAGTCACAATCAACTGTAGACATAGGGGGTCTTTGGGGAGAAGGACTCGGGTGGTGGATGGGAGTAACTCTTTGACCTTCCATTTCTGTACCTTTCTGGACTTTTGGAATTCTATTTTTTTCTCCCTTCTTGTTTTTCTCTCTTATTCGATTTTTATCAGAATGATACGTAGAATTTTTAAAAGTCAGATACAACTACTTTTGAAAATAAATGCTTATTCCCCGATGTCTCAGATAAGAATTACAAATTAGACAAAAAGTGTCCTCAGCAAGGCGACTTTTACTTTCTGCAGAAAGGGTGGTGCCCGTCAGCAATTCTGCCACGAGCATACACAAAGTAAAAGAGACATAAGAATATTTATTCCTTATGCATGAGGTCCCTATTGCTGTGTTTTGACTTCGCTGACTGGAGGCAGACCTCACAATTTAAACTAAAACCCGATTAGCTAACAGTTCAAAACTTTTTAAAATACATAAAGACAGTGAGGAACAAAGGAAAAAAGGATGTTGCTTAGAAAGGACTTAAAAAAGTAGGCCGGGCGCGGTGGCTCACGCCTGTAATCCCAGCACTTTGGGAGGCCGAGGCGGGCGGATCACAAGGTCAGGAGATCGGGTCAGGAGATCGAGACCACGGTGAAACCCCGTCTCTACTAAAAATACAAAAAATTAGCCGGGCGCGGTTGTGGGCCCCTGTAGTCCCAGCTACTCGGGAGGCTGAGGCAGGAGAATGGCGTGAACCTGGGAGGCGGAGCTTGCAGTGAGCCGAGATCGCGCCACTGCACTCCAGCCTGGGCGACAGAGCGAGACTCCGTCTCAAAAAAAAAAAAAAAAGAAAGGACTTAGAAAAGTAATAATATTCCTAAACAAGGGAGGAGTGTAGGCTGCAAGCTGGGACATACCTGGGCACGTCCAGCACGAATATTTTGACAAAGGTACAAGGACAT